TGTACAAGAATAGAGTTTTCTAATATAATGTATTTGCCTTTTGTTTTCCTAATTTGTGATAACTAGGATGCATTCCTTCTGCTAATCTTCTGATAAAATATTACGGGTATATGGTTTCTTCCAAATGTAAGTATAATAAAAACAATGCATTCAAAAATCTTTCATTGTTGCAGTATTGTTGGATTCTTTTTATCATTCTTTATAGTAATGAGTAGACACTTTCAGTTTACCTCCTCTGTTGTATGAATCAGTTATCAACTCCTACCCTACGAACTTTTCAGAAATACCCTATCCTAGGAGGGTAGCCTATTTATTATATTGTATGGTCATGGTGACATCTATGAAAAGTCAACGTCTATTCAGGAGAGAGATTCTGTTCAGGAGAGATCTGGGAACCGAGATGATGCAAAACTTTTTTTAATGTCTGCATATTAAACAATATTAAATTATATTTAATAATAATAATAATAATAATAATAACAACAATCAACTTTGTTTAATTATAAAATATAGCTATTTCATATATATTTAATTAAATTATTACATGTAAACATTAATAGCACACTTGCTTTTTATCACAGATATAATGATGACTTAAGCACCAAAGTGTGCTGCACTTGTAACAAATTTCAAAATAGATGATATTATTATTATCGTTTTGTTTGAATTAAACATTATAATAATACTTATATTAATTTTATATCTCTGCGTTATCTCTAACATACACTGGTCGGCGTCTAATGTTTTCTCGTACAAACATTGTAACAATATTCTACGGAAAAAAATAATTAAAAAATGTTCTATTAACATAGATTATTTAAAACTTCATTCAAAAGGTCTAATATAAATTGCAAAACTGTCCAAATGTAGTGTTAAAAGATAATTGTTTAGTAGTTCTGCGTATGTTGCTTACCATTGTGGAGTGATTCAACGTATTCTTTTCTAAACAGTAACTTGACCACCTAAGTCACATGACCTTGTCCCACTAAATATTTATTTATTAGAAAAACTAAAACAAGAAATTTTTGCAACTGATTGTGAGATAGCTACACTTGATGTTATGATAGAACAAATTGTAGATGCACTAGTAGAAATCAATAAATATCGATAAGAAATTTGCCATGTTTTAAACAGTACACTGCAACGGTCTTAAACTTGTATTTGCATAAGCGGGCAACATTTCGAACAGCACATTTAAACAATCTTACAACTTATAACTTTTGAATAAAGCTTTTAACGATTTATGTAAAATATAACACATTTTTCTTATTTTTATGCGTTCACATTTTGTACATTCATAATACTTGTACGATAAAATCTCAAACATTTCCTATATACATTTCATTTGAATCATGATTTTTTTCCGCTTGCTATTCGATAAAACATCATAAATTTCTAACTAATTAACAGTTTATATTACATTAGCATAGTCTTTAATAATCGTACATTCTTTAAATTGATCTTTATAGTTTAATAATAGGCACTTCATTATCATTCTAAAAATCTAATCATTTTAAAAGTTTGTAATTAACGATTTGCTTAGTTTGTCCTATGTATATAAAAATTAGTTTCTCGCTGTTGTAGCCGTAAGCAGAAATATGAAACAATTATGATAAAGAAGACAATTTCAGTTGTAAATATATGCTTCTTAGCATATAAAATAAATCTGAATTGTAACATTAATCGTTAATATTTCTTTTGATCATTCGTTGATTCTATCAACAGGATTTGTATCATCTCTAACTAATAATATTTGATTATCTTCCGTTTGCCACTTTTGACGAATATAAACAAATATACCGATAAAAGTTATTAAAATTCCTATAGCACTGATACCAATACAAGTAATGAGTCCCAATTTTGGTAATATCAATAAAAATTTAACTTGACTAACGTAATCAGAAGTTAAAGTAGCTTCTTGCGTAAACCACAGCATAGGCATATACGTTTTTCGTACGTATTTAAATATACTGAAAAAAAAAAAAAAAAAAAAAAAAAAACAAGATAAATATCTCATTTACTTGTTTATTAATTAGAAAAAATATTTATGAATACATTTTATTTACCTCATTCCGTCGATTGGCTCTACCATAAGATTTAATTGCAATTGAGCTTTCACTTCTAATGGGACGCCAGATTTCTACAGAAATTTAATTTGAACAATTCTAATAGAACTGTATTTAATTTTATGAGATATAAAAAAAATACTTACCGGTTCGATGATCACAAAAGTCTCGTGTTTTTCTCTTAATGGTTTCAGTCCTTCTACCGCTCTTCCATAACTACTATCTGCCAAATAAAAATGTGGCAAACTGATAAATGCAGGTGCTCCGTATTTACATTTAGAAACGTCTAATACTCCAGACGGCTCGCATGTTGTTTCATTCATGCAAAAGCATTTTCGTGACTTTACAATATCACCGTTATCTAACATAGTTTCATCGGAAATAAATTTACTACCTTCTATACTTTGATACAAAGACTGATTTTGATATGTCAATGTTACATATCTAAAACATTCATAGAAAAAGTACAATTAAAAAGTTTAATAATTATTAATTACTGCGCCAATATTATTTTGACATACGTGCAAATGTCAGGTACAAATATAGATGCCGTTTTATTATCCATTAAAGGTGGCCATAAATCTCCATTCGTACCATTTATCACACCACAAGAATCTTTGTAATAATTTGTTTTATTCTGAAAATTCCACTCTTTAACAATTCCCATTTCATGTATATTATTCTTTCCAGTTAACATATTGAATGTTCCATCAAAAGTATCCGAATTATTTCTCTGAAGGAAAATAAATGAAAATTTAGTAATACTTTTAATATTACCCATAATTTGTTATACGCACATCATAAAACCAGGCAAATTTGGTGAAAGGTATATTCGTCAAATTAAATTTTTTTGCAACAATAAGTAATTCATCCTTATAACCATCAAACAAAACTTCGCCTACTGTTTTTGTCATTGTTAAACCTTTATTCACGGCTTGAATTAATTTATTAGCAATTTCACGTATTATTATAGGTTTATTTTTCATTAATTGTCCCATTGTCTGCAAATTAGATTAGAATTTATTATCAGGACAGAATAATCTAATTAATTTAACCGGAGATAAAAATAATACATATTGGATAAAACTCACCACTACAATTGGATCTAAATTAGTTACTTTATCGGTTAACTTTCCTTTTGATAAATTTTCATCGAAATACCATACTTTTCTCCTTTGAAATGTTACAGTACCATTGTCGTTCCATACTTGATTTATCTTATAGTCAATTTCTCTGTAAATTTCATACAATTTATCACAAAACCGAATATAACCGATGTATATATATATATATATATATATAAAGAAGAAATTTTGTCTAATTATACCTAAACACATATGGTCCCATTTCTACAAGCATTGGCTTGTTCTTTGATAAATCATTAAAGACATCAGGATTACTTAAATTAAAAAAATAAAATTTCAGATGCATCGGTATAGGTGTTTCTTTCCAAAGATTATAAATAGTTGAAGTTGGCGTCAATGTTAATTCCTGTGGAAAAGATTTTCATTAGTAACAATTGAATGGATTGTTTAGACAAAATTCTTTATAACCAAATACATTAAAAACTTACTCGTAATAAAAACCAATTAAAAATGGAAGACCAAAATGATGCTGCAATAGAGCCAACCACTAATAACATCAGACCGATGACCAGAATTATAATAAACTTTAAAGAAGATTGCTTCATCTTTGTTGCCGATGCGACACTGAAAGAAAATTATTTCAATAAACGATCCATAGAAAAAATCATTTGACTATGGAACTATATTTCTTATTAAATAATATCCAAAAAGTACTGTATAGTGTAGTTAAACAAAAATTTACCAGCTTACATGTTATGATCGAAGTCTTCCTCAATTAAATTGGTTAACGATTCTATAGGCATAATTAATATTAAATCTGTTTCTTTCAACGTTATTCAAAAGTTGAAAATTAAAAGAAAAATATCATTCATATGTAAATACATAATATGCCAAATATGTCAACTCTAGTTGCAATTTTAAATAACCTTAGTACCTTCTTAGTACTTTTCTTAGTACTTTTCTCTTTAACGTTTAACTTATTAAAATTACAAACAATTAGTAATAACAAATAACGTAATTTTGTATACATAAGAAAGAATATAACAAAATTGAAAATAACTAGATTAGTATTACTTCCACTATCATTTGGTTATTTCTTTTAAAGAATACATTCATTCAATACAAATCAGTTGAATTTTCTGTCAAGTATTGTGATTATACATGTTTAATTATGACGTTATGTTATACGATTTTTACAAAAAGAATTATCTATAACTGATACAATGTATTGTATAGTTGTTTTTAGTTCGGCATGACGTGGCTACATGAAAGATGGTGTCTTAATACCGCGAATATTCAAATAATAAGAAGAAGGGTCGCGCGTCTGGATGCATTATTATGTTTTCCTATTGTTTCTATTTTTAATCATAATCTATTTTTATGATTTAATAATTAACTGAATTGTTACTTCGTTGAATTATCTTCTTATTAATCCGTAACCACATTATTATAATAATACTTTTATTATCTGAAAATATATTTTCAAATGTTTATGTAATCTTTTAAAAATAATTCATAAATATCTTTTTATTTCATAAATAATCTTTTTAGAAATCAATACTTTATTAAATATGTAACTTTTTTTTGTTTAGTTAGTTGTCGATTACTGTAACATGAATTAATATATAATTGTACATGCATCAAATATTGAAATTTCATCTTTTAATGCAAGAGGGATAAACTATTCTTCTTATCTTAAAATGAAAGTCCAAGAGATACTTCTTTTTTACGAAAGATAAGAAATCTTTCGACTTATTCAAAGATAATATTGATTATTTTTTCTATCAAAATTACATATAAATCTCAAAGATGTCAAAATATTTTTTCATATAATAATTTTCCATTATCTTACCATGAAATTATTCTTATGGTCACGCTAGGGAATTAATTTAATATTTTTTAAATATATACTATCACATATATATATATATATATAGTTTTTGCAAAACACTAATGTATTATAAGAAAAGAAATATATATATATATATATATATATATCATAATATTGGTCATCACTATATTCTTGATATTAAACGTCTCAAAAATTTTAATGTTAAAATGTTGTAAACAATATTTTTACTCACAAGACTAATTTTAATGAATTTTTTAAATAATATCCTTCACGTTTTTCATTTTTATTATTAGATTAACATAATGCATGTATTTTTTCTGTCCTATCTCGTCGAATTCGTCATTTCCTACCTATTCGAATAATTCATAAATGAATGCAACCGCAGTATGTATATATAGTATATTAATGATGAATCATGATTGAATTTTTGTAAAGGATGATGATCTAACATAAAAGACAGTCTTACTAGACAGTCGAGGCAAAATCCTTTCTGGTTCTAATTTTCATTTCCAGTTGATCACCGTTCATTTTAATAAACAGAACAATCGATAACGCAGCAACAGTTTATACAAGAAATCGTTTTCCCGACGTGGTTTTATTCGCACGACTAGAAGATGACAACTGATAAAGAAATATTAACTGAAATTCATTTTATGCATTTGATACTTCTATTATTACTACATTATTTACGTTTATTAAGTTATCGATCGACAAAAACTAGTTTTTAAATGTATACTTAATCTTTGTATGCGTAATCATTGTAAGGTACAATGATATATATAAAAAACAAGAATAGAAAAATCATGATGGTTGAAGAAACTATAAAAAGAAGCACATTATTTAAAGTTGATTATAATTATCAATATTACGCGGCTGTTCGAAGTTCGAAATTATTCAGCAAGCAGCATCGAAGAATATAAAGCGATGACAAATCGCGAGAGATAATTATTAATACAGATATTGTAATTATTCATTATTAAATGTTTTCATACAAAAGTACTCTTGCGTGGAGCTAGTCCGTATTTTACATGTTTTACTCGATACGTTTTATTTTTTGCAATTAAAGCAAATCATTCTATATAATTCATTAAATTATCTATCCCATTGGTACAATTATTTTGTGCAGTTGTTAATGCAATTGTTTTTTCTAATCTTTTCATTTCATATATATTAATATTTGTATTTTTTTTTTTTTTTATTTTTATACAATTCCCATTATGGTATTTTCATTTTGATGCACGTTAATTGGGGCGTTATTATATATCCAAGTGAAAGCACGGAAGAGTTTTCTTTATACATGCGTGTTTATGTGTGAGAGAAAGTGAGATATTTCTTACTTGTGTTTAACACACAAATATGTAATCACGTATCCTGTCCAGTAAATAAAACTATCAAACTAACAGAATGAAAGAAACGTCATCTAATATATATTATTTTTATAATATTTTTTAATATAATATTATATCACGTTCGGATGAACAACAATAAATATACTTTTACGATAATATATTTTAATATAGTTGAACATCTTACATTTTGATTTTAAATTAAATTAGAAACTTTAATTTATGTTAAATTATTTAAGAAATAAATACCTGTTGAGCCAAAATACCAAAATTTTAATGGAAACTCAATGATTATGATTTTAAAATTAGCGATATGACGTTGCTTATTCACTAATATTTAATGTTAATCAATCAGTTATTGATAATAATTAAACGTAAGATATAACAATGAAGAATACAAAAAGCATGCTACTTTCCAAATCAACTTGTTCGCGTGAACTCTCATTGTACGACTACGGATCCCACTTTAAACGATATTCGAGAGATTCGATACTTGGAGTAGGGATTTCATACTTGATTAAAACAACGTTTCTTCATTAACGAAATAAGAAGGGGGACTACTGACTCTGTATTCGGGGGGTCGACGAGTCGATTAATTCAATTTTTATTACACATTTGAAAAAACATTTTTTGAGTTTTATAATGTCACATCATTAGCGAGAATATTATATATATATATGTATATTTATGTAGTTTGAAAGTTCTTAAACATTACTTTTTCGTTTTAATGAATTTAGAAGATATTTATATACACGTATATATAATATGTTATATTCCAAATAATCTGGTAATCAATGATAACAGAAATCAAGATTTTTAGTGATATCGTTACAATTACTGAGTAAATGTTATTTGCTTATCTCACATACTTTATCGTTGCAATTTACATCACATCGTTCGTATTTACACTTACAAGCTGTACAAATATTTTTAATCAATTAATTTAATAATTTTGTTGTCACAATATAAATGCTAATATCAATTTTGGTACTTTGATTGTAATAGTTTTGATATTATTGCAAATTTTCAAACTACAATAAATATTTTGTTTAATTCTACATTATCATAAAATAAATATCACACGGTGGACGGATTAGTAATCGATAAAACAACTTTGTTATAGATAAAAATGATTTGTTTAAATAATTACAGTGCTGCTAGTACTATTCATGTCTTCTTGAAGTTGGGTGCGATCTCTAACTCTTGCACACATTAGACTATATTCTAATAATCCTATGCGAATGTTCATCTCCGAAATTTCATTTTTCATTTTTGTGATAATCTTCTTGATATTTATCAATGGCGCTATAAAACAATTAATGATTACATAATTATTATAATTTTTTTATACACTTTTTGTTGTTGTTCTAAATAAATTTTATAGGACGTTTTATAAAACGTTACTCACTTCCATCAGTCATACTGGATCCTCTCTCATCCATTTCCTTTTTCATATGTTCTAATTCCTCTGTTAATTTATTAAAAACTCTTGTTCTTTCCGTTACACCACCACTAACATCTCTATATTGTTCTTTAATTTTAGATAAATCGTCCTAAAAAAAAAAAAAATATCTCTATTATGTGTGAATGAAAAATATTACATTTTTCTGTTTAATTGTTATGTACTAACTTGAAGTATCCTATATTCATTTAAAATAGGCTCCAATTGTCTGTTTAGATAAGCCTCTCTAGTTTTAATTTTATCTAATACATTAGTTATTTCAAGATGTAATTTATCTAACTGTCCTTTGGTACCAGATAAATTAGTTGTAATGTCTGCACGCAGTTGCTTCATTTGGTTTAAATGTAAACGCCAATCTCTCGAATCTATATAAAAAATAATATTACAACTATTAATTAATTTTAATAGTTTCATTCACTTCAGAACGCTTGTGACAAAATGTAATCGATATGATTGGAACGCATTACTGTACACAGTAGTTGGACAGTGAAGTATGGAATGCTACAAAGTAATTAGAAGTCATTTCTTGTGCTCTAAATTTTACAATGATATAATCATATTATTAATGTTCTTAAATATTATATCTCATATATTTATGAGAAAAATATCTCATGTAATATCTCAAAGTATGAACGCGTGCATATGTACGCTCTTAGTATTCATATGATCTTCTTAGTAGTCATATGATCATTCTTCGAGGGCGTATATATACGCCCGTCTGAGAAAAAGGGTTAAGTAAATTTATTTTATTATTGAGGATATATTTCAAATGTAGTTTTTTTACCTGTTTTTATAGTTACTTTTAATTGAGGTAGAACTCTTTCTAGCTCCAATTGCCACTCTTCTCTATTTGTATTTGATTCTAAAATATGGTCAGGCTTGTATGTTTTGTTCTAAAACAATTTGTAAAATTATAGTTAGAAATTGGATAAAAAATGTATATGAAATATATATGAAAAACAGAAATCATACTTAATAACCAACCATATTTTGATTATAAAGTTTAGTTATGTCGTCAACGTGTAAAATCTCATCATCCTCATCGTTATACTCAGCCATCATCTCTTCTTCTACTTTCTCTAAAATTAATTCTGCATCGTCTTCCTCTATTTCTGGTTCATCAAGTGTCTCATCGTCAGGTATAATTTCTGCTCTGTAGATATGATACAAATTGTGTTATAATTTTTAATGCAATGATATCAATATAAAATATACTTTTGAAATGTACTTTTTCCACTTGAACTTTTGTACTTTTAAAGCATTATCTGCTAAATTATCTAACACATAAATAGCATGTTCTCCAGCTCCTTGTTTTAATTTGTTAGGTGGAAATTCCACAGGAATATCAATTTCTCTGAGGTAATCCAATATCAACGATATTGTAGAGTTAGGGTCATCGGATTCTTGTGGCTGTTCAAAATCTTTACCAACTTTCCTAATTAACCACGCAGCTAATGAAGTAAACATATAGAATTGTTCTCCTGGATTTGTTGATACTGCAAAATAATGCCTACCAAACATTCAAAGATAATTTCAATTAAATAATTTAATTATTTCAAAATCTTAAATGTAAAATTAATTATAATATCTTATAAAACTCCTCACCTAGTTATCGGTTTCATTTTTAATTCTTGTACAAATTCAATATCATAATTTAATAATTTTAATTTCTCTAATAAATCTTCCATTCTAGTATGTACAATGTAAAAAGCAGATAATGCTGATTCATCTTCCAAAATAATCTTCGAATTATCACGAAACATTTTAACAACAAGATTTTTTATAATTACTATGCAAGGTCAACGTCAAGTTTTTCTATGTGATGATTGATTAATTGACAATTTTATATTAATGTCAACATTTTAATCATTATCGTGGAACATAATACTTGTATAATGAAAGATTTGTACTAACACATTATTAATTATTATTTTATTCCTCATTTTTAGATATTATAAAGAAAAAAATGACAAAAAAAACGTTGCAAATTCAACGAGCACAAACTACGATAATAGTATAATACTACCCATAATATTACACTCTTATACACCTGCATATTTTTGTTACCGACTCTTTTAGTTACCGACTGAGATTATCTTTTTTATCATACTTGGTAAGGAAAATATCTTTAGTTTTAGTCTTTAATTTAATACCATTATTCTACATATCTGCTGCTGTAAACATATTAAATCTATATACATACATATAAATGTATACACAAATTTGACTAAAATTTGAAAAAAAAAAAAAAAAAAATGTTATAACTTCTTAATGAAAAATAAAACTATATAAATTTAATGAACCATTCTAAATGAAATGTAATTATTTTCAAACTTTTTAACGGAAGCGATATTTAATTAAAATTGTTTAACAATTTTACGTACCTATTTGAAGAAATATCTAATTTATACAAATATGTAAGATAATCAATGATTCGTATATATTGCATTATTGTAAAAAATGTGAAAAGAATAAGTTATATAATAATAAAAGTTGAATTTTTGAGTGACCTACATTATATGTAGGTGTAAGTACCATTATACCTAACTAACGGTACTTTCAATATAAGTTTCCAATCGTTCTTACGATCTACCTCATTTAAATATCTCTCGTTAATGTTATGATATTTATAAATATACACGCACACATATATGTATAATAGAAATTTATTTTGAATTTCTATAGGTTTTCTAAAATAACGAAAGTTAATTCTATCAAATTTCTAATTAATTCAAGAACTTTAAAAGTTAGTTACCTATTTGGAATTTCAAAAAGACGTAAGCGAAAGTTCATGTTTCTTTGGGTGCGATTGTCAAATATAGAATGAAATAAGATAAACAAACATGTACGTATGTACCTCGTACGTTAATTTTTTTGGCATATTCAATCATTTCTTCCGGGAAATACTTTCCTTGTTCCCTTTTGAAGATACTTTCTCAAAATACTACTCTTCCTATATCTCTCATTTATTTCAACATTATATACCAATAATTCATAATAATATCTATATATATATATACATTATCGGATCGTTTAAATTAACAAAGACAAATTTAAAATCCCCGAGAGATAAATAGCGCGAAATTTGAATTGAGATATAAGAAAACTAACAACTTTTACAAAAATACGTACATGAAATTTCGACAAAGTATTAAAAAAAGACGGGGATGAATTAAAGATATTAAATTGAAAAGAAAAGTATTCATCGAAGGGAAAGAAATTGGATTGGTTTTCGATCGTAGATTTAGAATTTAGATGAGAGTGATTCTCCACGTGGATCGTATTTAATAATAAGAGAAAAAATGAAGCAGCAGTATGAAAGAGATTAAAGAGGAGTTAAATTGAAAGGGAGACCGGACATGTGGTGTCCCATTTGTAAGAGGAAAACGAAAAGGAATTGAACTCGGTCAACCACCCGTCGAAAATACCTGTACGAGATCTTAAAAGTGCCGCGTGTCCTCTATTGTGTATATATAGGGGTGCCACAAGGAACACCACTGTGCAGTTCTTCAGTGAACGTTCTTAGGTGAGCATCGTTAAATTAACTTATCTCTTCTCACATTTTCTCTTTTCTACTTTTCTTTTTCCTTTTGTTTGTCCTCTTCTTTTTTCCATATCCTCATCCTTCGTCGTCAATTGTTGTCGTCGTCGTCGTCGTCGTCGTCGTCGTCGTCGTCGTCGTCGTCGTCGTCAATTTGTTCAACGGTTTTATTTAAAACGGTTTTTAGATATTAATAATAACAATTAACGATCATTATTATCACGTATCATTAAAAATTTGTTTAACTTTGTTATTTTAATCAAGTGCAAATGAAATTGTAGCATGTTGAATTGTTGAATCGTTAGAATCGTTAAACCGGTTTAAAAGAAAGTCGCTTCTTCGGAAGCATAGACATTTGTAAGCAACAAATATATCGATCTCATTTTGTTTTATTTAATTTATTTATTTCAAATTTGACATTTATTACCTTCTCCAATGACAAATATTAATTCGTTTTACAGATTCATAGGATTCTCTGATTAATAGGAAAGAAGAAAATGATTAAGTTTCTTCTCCTAGGTGCATTTGTGGCCTTGACGAGCGCACAATTTCAGCCCCAACCAACTGGAAGGATTCTAGAACCACCGATACCGGCATTGTGCGCACAACGTGAGTCTTTTTACTTCTATTTCAAGTCCATATGTTATATTTATAATTAGTCCTTTTATTTGCATAGAAAGAGCAATATGCCATTATTTTCTTGATACGAAAAGAAATAGGCGTTACTCATAGGATTATCAACGCTAGAAAAATATGATCAAATGAGAAAAATAGTCCAACGATAGAAAAAGAACATTTAAAGCTTTTTAATGCTTATAAAAAAGGTGTGGCCTTGTAACAAGGTCAAGGTCTTTTCCTGATTCAAACAGGTTGAATTAAGAAAGTTAGTTCTGTTGGTTCTCCAAGTGACCATAATCTTTAAATGTCGTCTTTTTCATATTAAATAGAACGTGAGAAATAAGAATATAAATTTTCTATCTTAAGTTAAAAATAATTTACAAAGATAAATATCCAAGAATAAAGTATAACATGGTAATACACGTGGGCGTGTTCCGGCTCGACGAAATGTGTGTTAATTGACGGAACGAGGATATACAAATGAATAATTAACTAATATATCGACACATTTGTAGAAAGTTTGTACGACTTATTTACGTGCTTACGTGCTTACGTGCTTACGTGCTTACATGCATACGTACGCGTTGGTATGAGTAATATTAATGCGCCGTGAAAAGCGAACGAATTTGAATTTTTAATGTCGTCGCAACTGTGAATGGGTCAATATAAGAAGAAGACCAAGAACCACCGTGGTATGTCAATTGCCACTTTCTCCTTCTTTCTGTTTTTAATAACCCAATTAATAAGGTGACGAAGTTAAAGGACATTGACATCCATGCATTGAAATCTTCATGATTCGTTATTGAAAAATGCGGGTCCTAGATTTTTCGAAATTATCTATATCATTATTTCATTGCAATTGATTAACACACACACACACACACACACACACATTCTTATTTAATTTATTAAAAATTATATTGGAACCTTTAGTTTTTATTTTATGTGTACGATAAACCTAAAACATATAGTATTTGTTTATGTAATAAGTTAACTAAAAAGATATCGGTATTTAGTGCCATCAATTAACATTTTTATGGTATCGAAAAGTCTAAAGAAGAAATACTCTTATCACGTATTCTGAATGCAATGTACGGAAGACTTTCTTATTCTTTATTTGGGAAAGTAGTTTCACAATTAGCATAGACCTTACAGTGCCAATGCCTAGGTCGTGACCATAGAGATCGATTGTGTGAGGTCACAAAAGACGGCACTGATTTCGCATCGCAACTTTCACTTTAAAAGGGTCGACATTTTTCTCATTTTATTCGTTTGTTTACGAATAAATTAAATATAATTAATATTCTTTTATTAACGACAAAAAATCACTATTCCATTTGTTAAATAAATATAATTATGATAAGGAGAATTTTTTTACGCGAGTAAGAAGATTAATGAAATTATTTAAAAAAAAAAAAAAAAAAAAGAAGAAAAAAATCAATTAGTAAGAAAAATATTATGACATAATTTTTTAGGAACAATTCATGAACGCTTTAACGGAAAGGGTTATTACTATTCGTGGGCTGATCCTAGAACAAATGGACAAGAAGTTGATTGGCTAGCTGGTAGAAATTTTTGTAGACAACGATGCATGGACCTCGTATCTTTGGAAACCTCTGCTGAGAACGAATTTATCAAGAGTCGCATCGTTCAAAGTACTTATCTTTCTATATATATATATATATATAATTCACAATTGAATTACGTTCGTTTTAATCTACGAGGAGAAAAATTGTTCTTTTTTTTTTAGACAAAGTGAAATATATTTGGACGTCCGGTCGTCTCTGCGACTTTAAAGGATGCGACAGACCTGATCTTCAACCACTTCATATAAATGGTTGGTTCTGGACAGCCGAGTTGCAAAAACTTGCACCAACTAACAATCGCAATCAAAACGATTGGTCTGAGAGTGGCGGGTAAGTAACTGACATATAAAATCTTTAATGTATTTTAAAATGAATATCTCTAAATTAATAAGACATTTTACAAAATCTTTATATCAGTATTGGAAAGCCTCAACCTGATAATCGTGAGGCCATTCAAGGTGGTGCTCCAGAAAATTGTTTAGCAGTTCTTAATCAATTTTACAACGATGGCGTTAATTGGCACGACGTTGCTTGTCATCATAAAAAACCATGGGTGTGCGAAGATAATGATTCTCTTTTAAAATACGTTCGTTTTACTAATCCAAACCTCCGCGTTTAATTGAATAACTTAAAAGGAAAATCTGACGAGTGGATAAACCATTATTATTTGAACTATTGTTACTCCATTAAATTATGAACATTTTTAAGATTAAGTAATGCGACTGAATAGTGTATAGGGCGATTATATTTATTACAACAACAACAACAACAACAACAACAACAACAACTTAATCACAATTTAATTAATTAAATGCATTACTCATGTCACAGTATGCGTCGTTGTACAAGATGTACCGATTCAAATAGATTGTCCATAAGTACCATAAGCATTGTCAATATTTATCTTTTACAAACGATTAGTTTTATACCCAGGAAGATTCACAATAAGTCTTTGAGGCACAACTCATGAAATATATCAGAAAAATTAAATTTCAATATACGTCGTGCGTATAATGAAATTTTACCATTACTGATTAAAGTGGAAAAAGTTATTTCAAAAAGTACGTAATGTAAAAATATTTTAATAATCATATAAATTAAAGATCAAACGAATATAAACCAAATATTAATGCTGTATATAAGATTACTTTTTACCTTCGATCATAATTATATGATAACCAAACTTCGTTTTAACTGGTGGATCTGTATAAATGGGTGAACTTAAATTGGAAATAGGCAATGCGAAAGCTGCTTCTTGAAAAGGACCAACCATTGAACCACGTGTCATCCAACCAAGATCCCCCTTAAAGTAATTCGTACAATACCGATGAGTATATATATTCAACTGTTATAATAAAAAATATATAAATAAAGAAATGAAAGAAAACATTTTATACCCCAGAACGCGCTTTGTCTTCGCTATATGCTGCTGCTACTTCATTAAATTTTTGTCCAGCCTTTAATTTTTCCATAGCTTCTAATATCTTGGATTGTTTCTCACATAATATGTGCCTAACCTATAAAAATCAATGAATTAAATATTAAAGTATCATATCTCATCACTAATGTAGTTTCTTAGGTTATTTTGTTAAGATTATCACAGAAAAACTGGACAAGAACGCGAAACAAAACTACATTAATTATTACCTATTTTTGGTCTTTATTTTATTTATATGTATATATACTTTTATATACTTATATATACTTATATATACATACTTTTACAGTAGTTCCACTTTTTTTTTCAACTTTATCACCTTTCCCACTTTCTTCCGAACTTTTAGATTTTCCAGCTTTACCGCTGATATTTTTCTTTGGTGGCATATTTGAATAATTCAAAGCTAAGAAAATAAAATATATAGAGAAAATATGAATGACTTTATTAACAATAAAGATGATGACATTTCGCGCGATAAAAGATCTAATCGAACGACATAGAGAAAGATCGATTATCGATAATCGAATGATTGAAAGAAAAGAGAAGAAGGAGATAGAAAGAAATAAATTAAAATAATAATTGAATAGATGAGATAAGTAATTCAAGAACGTTTGAATAATCAGTGAAAATAATATGAAAAATAATAAAGAAAATAATATTAAGTTTGGGTATCGTAGTATCGATGCACGTGCGCAGTGGTGACATCTTCAGTCGGTAGGCAATTGTCTTTGGGAGATTCGTACATATGCATGTATAGAGAGAGAGAGAGAGAGAGAGAGAGAGAGAGAGAGAGAGAGAGTATACGTCCATATCGAGGGATAAATAAGAGCTTTTTCTGCTATCTTTCTTCTCTATAATATCTCTTTTTCTCTTTCTCTTTTTCTTTCTTTTTCTCGAAAATTGTATCGATAAGAGGGTAGGGGTAATCGTGAATCTCAGGAAAGAAAAAAAAGAAAAATTAAAGTTAAAGTTAAAATTAAAATATAAAATAAAAAATATAAAACAAGATACAAGAGGGAGAGGGAAAAAAGTAAACGAGAAAGTAACATGCGTGCGTGCGTGCGTGCGTGCGGTAGAAGTTGAAAGAAAAAAAAGCCCAAAAAAAAGAAAAAAGAAAGAAAAGAAGTGTCGCGAGAAGAAACGATAGTTGAAGTTTATTTAGCAATCTGAGTGGCGGTTTAAACGGTCGGAAGGAAGGAAGGAAGGAAAGAAAGAGAGAGGGAAGGAAGGAAGGAAAGAAGGAAGGAAGGAAGGAAGGAAGGAAGGAAGGAACGAACGAACGAGCGAACGAACGAACGAAGGAAAGTAGGAAGAGAGGGCAAATAAAGGAGAGTTAAATAGAAATCCTTTGGTGCCGAGGGCCAGGGGTCCGTGTGATGCGCGCATATGTCTAGACTCGGAGTTACCCAGGTTCTGGGCACAGCACACCAGGTGAAGAGGACGTCCGCCGAGCAAACGGCGGTACTTAATTTTGTTGCTGCTAAACGAAGCAAACTATCTTCTAAGGTCTCACTTACGGAGATTGACAATATCGAGAAGATGACGGATACGGCCGCGGCGACCACGGCCACGACCGATACCACACAGAAAAGGGCCAATTTTTCCGCATTGACCGTTGCCAATCCAAATGGCGTAAGCAAAATATCACCGAGTTTGGCAACTGCTAAACCTGGTTCCGCGAGAAAACTTGTCATCAAGAACTTCAAAAGTAAGGATGGGTATTACGAATGGGAACGACTTAACCTCAAAATCAACGCTTTTATTGCTCCTATGTTATTCTCCTATCTATCTTTCTCATTTCGATCCCACACACATTGGCTTTTATATTTATTATTTCTAAATTGTTATTTAACCTTTATTTATTTATTTGTTTGTTTCTAATTATTGCGATATTGTCATTATATTTCATATCTATATTTCTAGTCTTTTAAATGTTGCGTTGGTTGTGTGATTCCTTTTTATCATGTTTCTACTACTCTTTTACATTTTGTCCTCTTTTTTTTTCTTTTTTTTAAATCTTTTCTCCTATTCTATTTCTTTCATTTCATTTTACTTTACTTTACTTTATCATCCATCATTTTATTTCTATTATATATATTCTTCTAATAAATTTGACGATTTGGTCGACAATTTTTAACGTCCTTCTTTTGTAACTATTAATAGGAGAGCGACATAACCTATTCTAGCATCAATGCTAATTCATTGTTCATACTTTAAATTAATGTTATAAATTGCAGGATTTTTTATTGTTTCTCATTATTAATCATTAAACTTTATACAATTCTATTATGTACCGATGTATTGACGTATTGTTTTTTTTTTGTTTTTTTTTTTTTGTTTTTTTTTTTTTCATTGAATTTTCTATAATTTCATCATTATCATACATTCATCATTAAGACGGAGTAATATTCTATAAATGGATCTACGACGATATTATTTTGTTCTTCAAAATGCGCACTGTCTTGCAAACATTTCAAATAAAACATATTTATTAAGAATAATACTTATATTTGATGTTACGCTTTAGTCTTTTGTAGAAACTAAAGCGACATTGATATAGAAAATGAAATTTAAAAAAAAAAAAAAAGAATAAATATGTTAAGAGCTTCCTTGCATTTATTTAGAACGTTTGTTCTTTTCATGCGATAAATATATATATATATATATAACGTCTAAAAATACATTTGTCTAATATGTGTGTGTGTGTTTATGTATATATATATGTGTAAGTCATGTACGTGCCTCTGTTCTTGATATAAATTTAAGTAAACATAAGTAGTAGATATTTAAATCTAAAGAATGAATCTTGAAAGCAAATTATAAAAGATTGGAAAATACTTTCATTGCTTTAACGCATATATCGAAAAATTTTGTGAATTATAATTTCTTAGAATGGATCTCTTTAATTGAGAATAAAAAATTGTGTTAATAAATATCACTGAATTTATTGTATTGTGTTTCTATAGATAAACCAAAATTACCAGAAAATTATCAAGAACAAACATGGGAAAAACTGCAAGAGGCTGTAATCGCAATACAAACGAGCAAAAGTATTCGTTATTCTTTAGAAGAACTTTACCAAGCTGTCGAGAATATGTGTAATCATAAAATGGCATCAACTCTATACGCCAATTTAACAATATTGACGGAATCACATGTAAAAGCTAATATCGAACAGTTTTTGGCAGAATCTATGGATAGACATATATTTTTGAAAAAAATGAATGAATGTTGGCAATCGCATTGCAGACAAATGATTATGATAAGAAGTATCTTTTTGTACCTGGATAGAACATACGTCTTACAAAATCCAACAATATCTTCAATTTGGTAGGCATTTCCTAATAATAGTACTATTAAAATAATTTCATATAACGCACTTAATATACTACTAATGTAATTGATTATTTGTTTTTTTTTTCTTTTTTCTTTTTTCTTTTTTTTCTTTTTTTTTTTTTTTTTTTTTTTTTTTTTTTTTCCATATGTTTCTAGGGATATGGGATTACATTTGTTTAGATTACATATAGTACTGAATAATTTGGTACAAACTCGTACAGTTGAAGGGTTACTTATGCTAATTGAAAAAGAACGACAAGGGGATACAGTTGATAGAACTCTTCTAAAATCATTATTAAGGATGTTGTCTGATTTACAAATTTATCAAGAGGCCTTTGAATCTAAGTACGATTATTTATGATATGTACTAATATCATATGTTTATTTATCATGTGCTATTTAATAATATGAAATTCTTTCTCTTTATAATGTATTATTAATAATTATATGCATAGGTTCCTGGTAGCAACTGAGAGATTGTATGCAGCAGAGGGCCAAAGATTAATGAATGAGCACGACGTTCCTGAATATTTAGCACACGTAGACAAACGCCTGCAAGAAGAAAATGAACGTTTATTGCACTATCTTGACACGTCGACAAAGTAAGTTTTCTCCTCTGCGATTAAATGCAATTCTAATTAATGTTATTATTATTGCGATAATTAAATATATATATATATGTATATATATATATCTCAGATGGTCTCTCATACATACAGTAGAAAAACAATTATTGTCTGAACATATTTCAAGCATTCTACAAAAAGGTTTAAGCGGTTTATTAGATGAAAATAGAATTAGTGATTTATCATTACTCTATAATTTATATAATCGTGTAAAGAATGGTCTCGTCGAACTTTGTCTCAACTTTAATTGTTACATTAAGGTGCGTATATATAACGTGTATATAAAAATATATCGTTTTTTACGATATATATATATATATATATATATATATATATATATATATATACTTTTTTTTCACTAACTTTTATTTGTTTTATAGAAAAAGGGTAAAACAATAGTTATAGATCCAGAAAAAGATAAGACTATGGTACAGGAACTTTTAGATTTTAAGGATAAAATGGACAATATCGTTAATACGTGTTTTCATAAAAATGAAAAATTTGCTAATAGCTTAAAAGAAGCTTTCGAAGCTTTCATCAATCAAAGAGCAAACAAACCAGCAGAATTGATTGGTAAAATATTTATAGCGGCAAATAAATATTTGTCTAAATAATTGCAAAATTAACATATGTTTGTTGGTTGTTTAATTGCAGCTAAATTTGTCGATTGTAAGCTACGTGCAGGTAATAAAGAAGCAACGGAAGAAGAATTAGAACGATTATTAGATAAAATTATGGTATTGTTTCGTTTTATTCACGGGAAGGACGTATTTGAAGCATTTTATAAGAAAGATTTAGCAAAACGTTTGCTAGTAGGCAAATCTGCCTCGGTTGATGCCGAAAAGTCCATGTTATCTAAATTAAAACAAGAATGTGGTGGAGGATTTACTAGTAAATTAGAAGGAATGTTCAAGGATATGGAATTGAGTAAAGATATTAATATTGCTTTCAAGCAGGTAGGTGGTAATCTTAATTATTTTATTACAAATGTAGAAAATGAAAATGCCAATTACAATTTCAAACTTTTGCTATATCTTTATCTTTTCTATTTCTACTTCTAGTATGCTGGAAACTTGCAACATGAATTATCCGCAAGTAATTTAGATTTAACAGTCTCGATACTTACAATGGGATATTGGCCAACATATCCTGTAATGGAAGTTACATTGCCAACAGAAATGGTCCAGTATCAAGATGTATTTAATAAATTTTATTTAGGAAAACATAGTGGAAGAAAGTTACAATGGCAACCAACTTTGGGACATTGCGTGTTAAAAGCTTGGTTTAATCAGGTATATTAATAATATATGTACCTGAATTATATATAAATAATTATACGTATTATATATTTTAACTATACAATTGTTGTTTTTGCAGGGCAATAAAGAATTGCAAGTATCATTATTTCAAGCCTTAGTCTTAATATTATTTAACGATGCTGATAATCTTTCATTGGAAGATATTAAAGCAGCGACTAATATTGAAGATGGCGAACTTAGAAGAACTTTACAATCTTTGGCTTGTGGAAAGGCGAGAGTTTTACAGAAACACCCGCGTGGTAGAGACGTCGCTGACAATGATAGATTTGTTTTTAATGCAGAATTTACGAATAAGTTATTCAGAATTAAAATAAATCAAATACAAATGAAAGAAACGGTAATCCAAATAATAAACATAATCCTCAAAAATTGTGCAATTTTTAACAGACAATTCTTAAACATATCTTCAACAATTTTTACAGAATGAAGAACAAAAAGCGACAGAAGAAAGAGTGTATCAAGATAGACAATATCAAATAGATGCAGCAATTGTCAGGATTATGAAAATGAGAAAAACACTTACGCACAATCTCCTCATTAGTGAATTATATAATCAATTGAAGTTTCCTGTTAAGGTATACGCTTTAATATTACTATATTATAAAATAACAACACGCACACACAATGATATCATTAATTTTTCCATTTTTCCATTTTTTCTTCTTTTTCTTAATCTTTTTCTTTATAATGTCATCATATTTTTCTTCCCGTCATTAGCCTGCTGACTTAAAGAAGCGGATTGAGTCGCTCATAGACAGGGATTACATGGAACGGGATAAAGATAATGCAAATCAGTACAATTATGTCGCGTAACCTGAATCGAATGCCAAAATTATGTTAGATTGGTTCGATTTTACATTTTTTTAAGTAAAATGAATCAATTAATTTTGGCGCTTGCCTATTGTGAATGTGTAAAGTTGAAGAAAGAAAAGAAGAACTTTAACTGGTTAACTATCAACATAACGTTGCAGTATACAATCAGTTGATAAAAAGAAAGAAAAAAAAGGAAAAACTAGAATGGACTTTGTTGTTTTATTTTTTTGTAGTAGTGCATACGGACACTGGACAGTTACAGTAATATTTCAACAGTGCTTTACTGTTATCCTTGTGTTATTTCTAGATTTTGCTAAAAAAAAAAAAAAAAAAAAAAAAAAAAGATAAAAAAGAAAAAAAAGAAAAGAAAAGAAAAGAAAAGAAAAGAAAAAAAAGGAAGAAAAAAGAGAGAGAGAAAAAAATAAAGGACCATACGCAAAATATCATCGACAATGCAGCAATTTAAGATGTACCAACAGTTTTTTATGCTAAGCAGTTTTTCACAGCATATTAAAAGATAAGCAGAAGTAGTGCAAAACGACAAAACATAATTGTAACACTATAATAGCTAAAATGAAAATAACTTAAGAAATGAGAAACATAATGTATTAATTCTTAAAAAAAACACACACACACACAAGAAAAAGACAAACAAACAAATTGGCACCAGTGCGTTATTATCATCATCGTGATAGTCTTAAACTTTGCACCGTATACAATTTGGGAAGATACAGTTTTGCTTAAATATTTAAAATTATCTCGACGCGTAAAACTATTTTGAAAACAAAAAAAGAGGATCTAAAATTCCAGAGATTAGATTAAACCAAGAATAATAACTGTTTTAAATAATTTAAAGAAGAATAACGTTTAATTTTACAGCTCAATTTAATAGGCATTGTTGCAGCTGTTTTTAGGTATATAAAAAGTAAAATAAAAATTTGTACAGTGGATAAAGAAAAGAAAGAAGAAGAGGAAGCAGAAGAAGAAGAAGAAGAAGAAGAAGAAGAAGAAGAAGTATAGAGGTATGGAAGAAGTATTTTTAATTTACTAACACGTCGTGTAAAAAGTATAAGGAAATGTAGAAAAAGAAAAACAACAATCCTTATATTGAAACGAAATAAATTTCATTTGAATAATAGATTATATTTAAAGAATAATCACCATGCCACAATACTTTCTAAGCATCTCAGCAGACTAGTACCTTGCAATATAGTTCTGTAATTATGATAACAAAGTTTTAAACGAACAAAAATCACACTATTTACAATAGTTGTGATACTAAAAAGAAAAAGAAAAAGAAAAATCATGTTCATTTTTCTTAGTAGTGGGGGAGGGAGAGGAGGATGGAAGAAGCAAGTTATAGGATAACAGAAATTTATTAGCAAATAATAATGAGAAACACTGTGGAAATATTTAACTTTACAAAAATTAAATATAGAAAAATAAAAAAGGAGATTCTCTCTTTTTCTTCAACCTAAGGAAAGCATTGGTATTTTAACTGCTTACATTATATGCATTTAGCATGTGTAAGCATCCGAGATATTTGTATTTATTATATTAATTAATACATATAATGAAAAAAAAAAAAAAAAAATATATCTTATTAATATTTATTCTTTGCATTCACAAATTTGTATTACAACTTCGTATGTATCAAATGTTCGTTTAATGAAAAATTAAAAGAAAGAAAAAAAAGCATAATATATACATATATAAAAAATATTAATTTACTTTCGAGAATAAATGTATTTATATAAATTTTAATGAGAGAATTTGATTTTCATGTTGCCAATAAATTAGCCCAAATTAAGAAAGCTTGAAAAAAATCCTAGCCAATAAACTGTATTAATAATTATATATTTATAATAATGATAATTGATGATAAAAATAATATAGAATCGACGAAAGTCCCTTTATTTTGTTATAAAAGCGCGTTTTGAATATGTGCGTGCGTTCGCGTGCAAGCGTGAGAGTGATACACGTGTGTGTATATATATATATATATATATATATACATATACATTATTTTAAAATGAGAAAAATGTATTTTTAAGGATGTACTCTTTAACGTCTTCATCAATATCTACAGTGTTTCATGTTATTATACATTTACTTTTTCTTTTGGTTTTTTTTCTTTTTGTCTTTCTTCATTTTATGATAGATTCGATTTCCGGTGCCTTCCATCATTAAACATACCATACTATTGCCTACATCGGATTATTTTTTATTATATTTCATGAATTAATGGAAAAATATATTTATCATATTTTTTAAGAGAAAACTTTTGTAGTCGATATTTGTTTTTTTTTTTTATTTATTGTAGAGAGAGTTAACACACAATTATAGATAAAAGTAATTTCTCTATACTATATTGAAGAAATGATAATGATAATAATTAAAAAAGTATCTTAACATCAATCACAACATAACAAAAGGAATAACTTATTGTTTAATATAAATTCTCTTTATTGTATTCAAATTAAGCAGCTATAAATATAAAAATACCATTTTGTAATAAAATTAACAAATAATTCAATAATTCGTATAACTTCGTTTTCTTTAATTTAGGCAATAAAAATATATTGGTTATTTGTACACACATGAAGTTATAAATAGAAATTTCAGATAATTATTTATCATTGCTTGTATTTCTATATTGTTGCTTTTCATTTATAATCAAGTAAAACATACTCAATCGTTCTTAGAATTTAGAAAGAATTTAAAAAGAATTTTGTTGGATAAACGCAATTCTCTTGGTAATTATATTTTGACTATTAAATGAATTATTTTAATTTTTTAATTGTTTGAACATATTCATTTCTTATATCAATTTCATTTAGTAAAGAATTAGCAAAATTACTAGGACTAGCGGTTTTGTGTAAGAAATCCGAAACTAACAACGATGGAGGTTTACCACCGCCATGCGTTAAACATTCCCAACGATACTTTTCACCGGCAACTCTACTCAAGGGATCATTTTGAAAGTACGTTTGCCAAATCCAAGAAGCTATTGCACGCGATATTAAATAAGAATAATATTTAGCACCGTATCCTACTAGATGAGAAAATCGCAACTGCCATGCCTAAGGAAAGAATATGTTGTTTATATTAAAAAATAATAATCATATTGTAATATATATATATATACTTTACATTCGCGTATAAACTTTTTCAACATTTTCAAAGATTATTAATACGTACCGTATTTTCAATATATGGTAAACCATAATATTTTTCTTGAATATCTTTTAAAATTTCCGTAGTAGATCTTTCTAATTTGTTGCTATGATAAACGTGATCCAACATACTATAAAATACTTGATTTTGCAGTTCGGATGCGCAAAAAATATGTTTAGAAGCGCATAGCTTTTGTAACAAATAATCTGGAATTTGTTCATTTGTTTGATAATGTTTAGCAAACATGGATAGTACCTAGTTACAAAATCAAAAAATATCAATGAATATTTTATTAAAGGCACTGTGATAAAACTTTCATTGTATATTATAAGCTTACTCGTGAATCACTTGCAAAGTATTCCATTAAGACGCTTGGTACTTCTGCAAAATCCGTACTGCATCTAGTACCTGTTACGTGTTGATATTTTGTTCTGCCTAACATAGAATGTAACGCGTGTCCCATTTCATGAAATAAATTATCAACCGAGGATGGATTTAGTAAACATGGATTAGACCATCGAGGGGGCGATAAGGATAACATTATAACAACTATAGGAGTCTGAAAGTAAAAGTTTGTTCGTTTGTTCGTTCAAATCGTTCGTTCAAATCGTTCGTTTAAATAGTTCAAGTGAACTAATAAGGAATAACTTTGTTTATCCTTTCAAAAAAGGGTACCTGATAAGATCCATCTGATAACTGTTTTCCACCTCTAATAGCAAAATGACAATCTTGATTAGGTTTTCCTTTTCTTTCAAAGAAATCGCAATAAATGTAACCCAATGTAGTTTCATCCTTGTCTATCACAGCTAATTTATGTATATTTGGTGCCCAAACTTCACCGGATAAAGTTGCTACAGATTCTAGTCGTATTCCATATAATGCTTGCACAAGATAATTTAAACCATCCATACAAGAACCGAGAGAAAAATATGGAACAAATTCATTACTTGAAGTATTTAACCATGTCTTTTTAGCTAGTGACATAAAATAAGCCGTATCCCATGGCATCAAATTCTATAAAATAGAAATAATTTGTCCCCATAATAAAATATTCATAAAATAATAAATAAAATATAAGATGAATTTTTTCTCAAAAACAAAGAAAACCAACTTGTTTCACGGACGACGACTCGGCATCTTTCATTATTTGCATTTCTTGGAAATCTTGCATTGCTTTACTTTGTAAGTCATTATTCAAAATATTAAGAAAATCATTTACTGCTTCGGGTGTTTGCACTGTACTACCTCTTACAGCTCTGTGAAAATAAATGAAAATAACTGAATCGTCTCAAATTAAAGAATGTACCTATCATTTCATAAATGATCTTACCCCTACCTGTGAGCGTATGTAGGAAATCCACATGTTTGTGCCAATTGATGCCTACAATTTAAAAGCTTGATCAATAAATAATCTTGTTGTTCATCAGGATATAAGAACAATTTATAAGCTGCCTCACGAACAATAGTATTAGGTGAATCTGTATAAAGTCCATTTACTAATATCTGACCATTGTCCATCTGAAAACTGTGACAAAATGAATTAATGTAAAATAAAATAATAATGTGAAATTATAGCAGAAATATTTTCATACATTTTCTTTCAATCTCCAATATAATCTCATATTATAAACAAATTAGTATAACATTAATATAACAAACTCACTTTTTCCTGATATTTTCTGGCAAAATATCAGCTCTTACAGAGCGTGCATTAACAGTGCCAGCCATAAATTTTTGACCTGTCTATAATATAATCAATTATTTACTAAACCAAAATATATATTATAAAGCAAGTATAGCTTACTTGCAGGATATCATCATTTAACATGACAACTTGTTGTTTTTGTTCTTCCGGCAAATGAATACCGCTTTGTTCAAAATCGAACAAAAATAGTTTAGCAACGTGCTCATCGATGGGAGAAGTTTTAAAAATGTCTCCATTCTTTACAACATGCTGCAATGCATTATATAATTCACTGTGAGTATTAAGTCTGTTAAAGAAATAACATAAACGAAACATTAAATCAATTATAATTATTATCGTATAATTAATTGATACAATGATGAAATGTAACATCATACTTTTCAACTACACTACTTAATGATATGGAAGTATCTTCTGCGGCTTCAACAAACTCTATATTTGGATGTGCAATTCTAATAAATTCTGACAAGTCTGCAACTTTGCATAAAGTGTCAGACAATTCATCAAATATTTCAACCATATTTCTTTTTCTCTTAACATCAGTAGCCTCGGCTATAAGCGAATCCGTTTGAGCAAAAACTTGATCTTTTAGCGTTTGAAATCCATTGGCATCTTTGAGCTCGGGTATACAGAACAAACCCTACAATATCAAGAAAATATATATAATAATAATAATAATAATAATATGAATATATTTAAATAATGTATTTGTGACTTATTATAATATTAAATAGAACTTACAGTTTCCTTTTTGGAAAAATCTAATCCATGCTCGACTTTTCTAATAGAATTAAATGCGGTTGCCAAAGGTGACCATGTATTTACATGCCTATACATGTTGAGATATTTCAAAATACGTTTGTTTAATCTTTGCATCATTTTATTTGATTATTTATTATTTGTAAACAAACAAACAAATAAACAAATAAATAAAATAAATAAATAAGAATTAGTAAAAAGTTAGAATAGAGCGTGTAGTTGTAGTTTCTTCTCTCTTGTAGTTTTTTTTTTTGAGGTTATACAATAATTTATGATTTTGTACAAGTTAATCTTATTATATACGTTTGCTTTCTTCATTTTAGATTATATATTTTATTATACATATTAAACGTTTTGTTCGTTTTATAAAGAATATAATTATTTAAGATTTATTTATTTATTTATTTTTGTTTAGATTTAAAATAAGAAAGAGATATCGATATCTCGTAAGAATCGATATCCTAGGGAAGAAAACGCTGCGCAATTCAGGTATGCAATCTTTTTAAAATAGTGAAAATAGAGTGATAATAAATTGTGTGTTTTTTATGAAGTTTTCAAGAAAAACAAACAAAAATGAGAAAATCGAAAATTTAATAAATATTTAAAAGAATTGATAGATCTTTTGAACAATTATCGATAATATTTTCATAAGTATGTAATTCACAGTGTGTATAAGATAAATTGAACAATCATCAAGGTTAACTTAAGATAATAAATGGTAAGAAATAATTAGTATATTATATCAGGCTATTTTCTATCCAGTGAAAGGGATATGCATGTGTTTATTCTCCTCCTACGCACGCACATTGTTGAAAGATTAGATATGCATAAAAGTTCTTTATTTCCTTTTGTTTGTTAATACAATACTGTATATGTAATGAATTGTAATTGTTTGTATATATTTTGCATATTTGACATATTTGACATATTTGATATTATTATTATTATTAGTCGCAAACTGGATTAGAAGGAAATTTTGTTGACGCTGTACGACAACTGGCAGAAAGTGAAATTGAACTTATCAAAGCTATTGAGGAATCTACTATGGATCGTCCAAAAAATACAACAGATATGAAATCGTCAACTAAAAAGAAGAATATCAAGAAATCATCTAAACTCTCAAATGTAATGTCTAATCTTAACATTCATTTGCTAATGTGTGTTCAATTAATATATAGAAGAACAAGTTAACAAGTTTGATTTTTATTATTATGAATAGACTCAACCATCTGCCGCTTTATTAGCAGCTAAACAAGAAGCAACGCAACGCAAAGTATTACAAAATAAAAAATCAAACGCTAATGTTGTACATGATATTTATCAAAAAATAAGAGATGCATATGTTGTTTTGCGTAAAGAAACTGGTATTGTTTATGATCGTTCTATGGAGGATCATAAATGTTTGTGGGATGAAAATTATCCAGAATGTCCAGAAAGATTAATAAGGATCTTGGAAAGATGTAATGAGTTAGGATTATTAAACAGATGCAAATTAATTCAATCAAAATTTTGCACAGAAAATGATATACTTCAAATGCATACCCAAAAACAAATAGACATTTTAAAAGAGACTAGTGGATCTATGGATGTGGATAAATTAGAAACACTATCTTCTAAATACGATGCTATATATGTTAATTCAGTAAGTGAATTATAGATAATAATGTTAAATAATGAAAATATTAACAATTCATTTACATTATTTTTCAGTCCACTTTTAAATTATCTTTACTGGCCGTTGGCTCAACGATAAATTTGGTAGAAAGTATTTGTAAGGGTGATATACAAAACGGCATGGCTATTATTAGGTAAAAATCATATAGTATATCAATCAAATTAATATTTTAGATCAATGTTCAATAAAAAAAATTTGTCATCAATTATCATAAGTATATAAATAACATTATTTATTGTATTTAATTTCATTATATTTCAGACCACCTGGGCATCACGCGATGAAATCTGAATATTGCGGATATTGTTTTTATAATAATGTGGCTATCGCAGCAAAAAAAGCTTTAAATGATAATTTAGCTAATAAAATTCTTATCATTGATTGGGATGTACATCATGGACAAGCAACTCAACAAATGTTTTACGATGATTCACGGTATTATTTCAATTAATTAATAAATTTCAATTATCAGTTCGGTTCGATGATAATTATCTAATTATTCATTTTATTTTATATTTTTTATTCATATATATGTACACAGTGTAGTTTATTTTTCAATACATCGTTATGAAAATGGAACGTTCTGGCCTAATTTAGAAGAATCTGATTTTCATTATATCGGTGAAGGCTTGGGAGAAGGTTACAATTTTAATATACCACTTAACAAAACCGGCATGACTAATGCTGATTATATTGCAATATTTCAACAAGTTTTATTACCAATGGCTTACGAGGTAAATAACATAAATCACAATTTATTTATCAAAATAAATATGATAAAATTTATATAAAAAATTATTTTATTACAATGTTGATGCAATGTTGATGCAAGTCTAGTATGAAATATTGAAAAAGCATAACATAAAATTAATATAATATTAATTATAGTTTCAACCAGATCTCATAATAGTATCAGCTGGTTATGATGCAGCATTGGGATGCCCAGAGGTAAAATATTTCATTTATATTTACTAATATTTTATTTTTCTTATTCTAGTTTCAGTCAGATCTTATTATTGTTTCTGCTGGATTTGATTCTGCGCTTGGAGACGAAAAAGTTGAGAAATGTGACTTTTATACATTACTTTTTTCTTAGGGTTTTTACTTATCAATTTCTATTCATATATAAGTTTAAGTTATATATACATAAAGTTTACTTAAACATTATCAGTAGAATAAAAATTCAAATATGTATACATGTATATATTTTTAATAATGTGTAAAGGGTGAAATGGAAGTAACACCTGCATGTTACGCTCATCTATTGTCATCTCTATTGAGTTTGGCAGCAGGGAAGATAGCCGTAATATTGGAGGTATTTTCACATTCATTATTTATATAATTTATATGTGAATAATTAAACAGTCAATGTGTATTTGTGTTTGTAGGGTGGCTATTGTTTAAAGTCATTGGCTGAAAGCGCTGCATTAACTTTGCGAACATTACTAGGCGATCCATGTCCTATGTTGCAAACATTGCAATCACCGTCACTAAGGTATTACCTTATATAGCAAAAGAAAAGTTTATCAGTATGTCAGTATAGTAAGTACATACATATATGTTCAATGTATTTTCAGTATACGTGACACAATTTTAAATAGCATTTATGTCCACAAACCATATTGGAAATGTTATCAATATCAAGAACAATATAGTATTAATAACAGAATTGTCGGAAAAGAAGAAAATAATGATCAACATTTGCCCATTGTTAATTACACGTAAGTAATATTATAACATATACATATGTGTGTGTGTGTGTGTGTGTGTGTGTGGGGGGGGGTGTAATATAGATCAGGACTTTTTAATCATTTATTGTATATTTATCTAGCGGACAAGTATACAAAGCAGATTTTTATGAAACACGAAATTGTTATCCTATACAAAATAAAGACATTTTTGAAACATTAGATAAGAGATTAGATTCATTGATAAAATGTAAGTACTTTTTAATAATAATATTTACTTGTTGATATGTTCAATAATTCAATAATTATTTTCTATAAATGTATACGTATTAACAATTATTATTATTTTTATAGTTACAAATTTATCCAAAGCACCTAACAAAGTATGCATTGTATATGACAACAGAATGTTGAAACATTGCGATGCCGTTAATAATACGCATCCTGAAAAACCTCATCGAATTGTAAGCATTTATAAGAAACACGAAGAGCATGGTTTATTAGAACGGTGCTATTTACAACAAGTACGTTTTATTTTAATTTATGACATTATTCATAAGATGATGAAATCGTCTTATCGTCTTATCGTCTAATCATATTAATTACACATTTGTTTTATTTTTATGTTAAAGGGAAGAATGGCTACAGAGAAAGAATTATTATTAGCTCATTCTCAGGATTATATTAATGCGATAAAGAAGACGGAAACATTTAAATCTAAGGAATTGGAAAGACAAGCATCTAAATATAATTCTGTTTATTTGCATAACGAAACATGGTTTTCTGCTTGCGTATCTGTTGGTTCATTACTTCAAGTTGTTGACTGTGTATTAAATGGAGAAGCTCAATCTGGAGTCGCGGTAATAAGACCTCCAGGGCATCATGCGGAACCAAATTCAGCGTGTGGTTTTTGTATTTTTAATAATATTGCAATAGCAGCTAAATATGCTATAAATATTCATAACATAAAGAGGTACGAATCAATTATTTATTATTTATCATTTCATTCGAAGTTGTTGAAAATTGTAAATTGTTTTCGTTCTTTCAGGATATTAATAGTAGATTGGGATGTACATCATGGAAATGGTACTCAATTTATTTTTGAAGATGATCCAAGCGTGCTGTATACATCTATACATCGTTATGACAACGGAAATTTTTTTCCACGTTCTAAACAAGGCAATTACACATTCGTTGGATTAGGATCAGGAGAAGGTTATTGTGTAAATATACCGTGGAATAAAGTAAGCATATAAGCAACATATAATTGTAATTTCTAAGAAGGATTATTTATTTTCATTGATTTATTTTCTTCTTTTTATCCAGAAAGGAATGGGAAATGCAGAATATATAGCTGCATTTCAACAAGTTGTGATGCCGATTGCTTATCAATTTAATCCAGAATTAATTTTAGTTTCTGCAGGCTTTGATGCTTGTATCGGAGATCCGTTAGGGGGTATGTATATATATATATATATAGATATATATATATTGACATAGGTTGACATAGGTTGATATAGGTATTGACACGATCAATTTCATATTCATTTCAAGGATGTACGGTAACACCAGAAATGTATGGACATTTAACACATTGGTTATCTTCATTGGCGAATGGACGTGTTATTCTTAGCTTGGAGGGTGGTTACAATATAAATTCCATTTCTCATTCAATGGCAATATGTACAAAAGCATTACTCGGTGATCCATTACCCTTGCTAGACGCTTCTTTAATACCGTGCTCAAGTGCAATACATTCTATAAATAACGTATTGAAAGTGCAAAAGAAATATTGGCCAAACTTAATGTTCAATTTATCGTTGCCTAAAGAAAATCTTATGAAAATTGCTACTAATATTAAGATGAACGATCACGATCACGATCAAGTTAAAAATTTTAAATTGAATGAACATTCGGAGTCGAAAATTGCCTTGGAGGGTATAGAAAATGAAAAATTGGACATCAAGCATGCGTTTAATAAATATAGTATGAATAAAATATCCGGCGAAGAAATATTGAAACTTCAGAATGAGATGACAAATATTCAAATAAGGGATTGTAAAATTACAAAGGGAACAAAAAATACAGATACAGTTGTTAGGACATGTGTAAATAAGGATGAACGAAAGGAGGGAGAGAAAAAAGAGACTGCAGGAAGTTCTAATAATTCAGCAGGAAGTAGTAGTGATACAGGAGAAAATAGAGGAGCTCTTGATGAAGCTGCAGCGACAAGTTTGACTGATTTTCTTTCTGATCACTGGCAGGTAATGATTTTGGAATTTCTTGGAATACGTTTATTCATGATCATCTTAAAAAGATGATGAACATTTTATACTACATAGGCATTAACAGATGGGCAAATGTTTGCTGTTATACCGTTAAAAGAATGTCCACATTTAAATACAGTTAATAATGTACCTCCTTGTGGTATTGATATACATTTACCATGCATGGAATGTAATAGTAAAGCTGAAAATTGGATTTGTCTTCAATGTTACACTGTACATTGTGCAAGAAATGTCAATCAGCATGCATTGTTACATTCCGAAGAAACTTTGCATCCTTTGACTTTAAGTTTTAGCGACTTGTCAGTTTGGTGTTATGGATGCTCAGCTTATATTGATAATCCGGTAAGATATTTCAAAATGTGCTAATTCAATAATAAATAATAATAATAATAATAATAATAATGTGTCATTTCAGAGATTATATGCTGCTCGAAATGCTGCGCATCTGAGTAAATTTAATGAAGAAGCACCATGGACTTACGAGGTACAATGAATTAGTGCCATATTTTGCTCGTAATTATATATAGCAGGTATAAATGAAACTAGATAATTTAATATCCTTATATATTTTTATCTTTACTATCAATTTCAAACATTTAAGTAAATCTTCAAGCAAACGTAATTCTTTTGTTTATAATATAAACTATATTAAAAATTGATATAAAAAAGTTGCAATATAAATTCGGTGCATTGGTCATCGAAGTAAGTAAGCTTTACTCAAAAGTTATGATTAAAATGGTTAATGTTATAACTAACTAATATGACCACAATATTGTGAATCGAATGAGATATTTAATTAACACATTGCCAAAAAGCGTAACGACATTTATTATTATGTATAAACTTAGTTACTTATTATTGAGGAAATAGTGGGAATTTTAGAAGAACAAAACAAAAAAAAAGTCAAATATTTTCTTAAACAGCACATATTTTCATAAAATTCTTTATAATATATGCCAGATTGATACAATAATTAATGAGTACATACTGTTATACATAACGTATWKAAAAAAAAAAAAAAAAAAWAAAWAAAAAAAAAATACATTTGCTTACAAATATATAATTTTGGAATGACAAACAACACTTACACTTACATTTACACTTACACCTACACTTACACTTACACTGCAATATTTACAAAAATCTAGTCGACATTTAATGATGTGTGTGTGTACCATTCATAATTTACAAATACAAATAAAAAGGAAATTAATTTGGTATTTGAAACTTACATATGGTATGGTTATTAAATGTACAATGCATTTATTAAGAAAATACAAGAAGGCATATAATTATTAGAAATAATTGATTAATTATATTTTTACGTTAGCAGCGAATTTTTCGTCTTCTTTGCAAGCAGCTTTGTTGTTGAATTTTCAATCTTAATCAAAGCTAATTGAAACTGTTGAAAAAAGATGGATATATCGTTTATAAATTGCATCAAGGATTTTGGTCTAAAGAGACTGATATTCTGTAAATTGAAATGTTCGTTAATCATTTTGAAGGATGGTAATTTTTCTATTGAAATATGCGGATAAAATGATCGTATGGTGTAATGGTTAAATAACAAAGAATTATTTAAAGAATATTCAGCGAATTCTTCTACAGCGCTATAAGGCAACGTGTAATATAATCTATAAGGTATTCTTTGAAATGTCAATTTTTCTTCGCATTCTTGCAATTTTGTCGTTATACTATTATAAACTTCTGTTAGGTTTTTCGAACCCTGTTCGTAAAGATAAAAATCTTTGGTCAAGCGATACTTGTGATTGCCAGTGCTAATATATGTTTTATGCGTGTTCCTTAAATGTAATAATGCCGTTGGTATGGGATATATGTAGGATGTATATAAATGTACGTTAGTAAGATGAGGTTTAGCTTTCAATTCGGTGCTCATATGCGACGTTAAAGATAAAATTCCACCTTGATGAAGGAAACCATAAAATAAGCATAACACGATGTTACTGCAATACCAAATCATTTGCAGTTTGGTAAGCTTGAGTGTTTTATCATCTGGCCTATATTTAGTTGGATTATTTTGTTTAATATGCGAGATTGTATCAACACCAGGCACGTGGCTTAATTTTGGAGCATATAAGAAAACCAACGGTAATATCACAGGTATAATAAAACGAGGTTCTTGATGAGGAAAGCAAGATAATAATGCTACAGGAACAATAAATGATATTGTCATTAAACTAACTATACTTTGTATCCGTGGTAATTCCAGCCATTTTCCTTTCAAACCGCTGCAAGCAATTAACAACATTCATTAACATGCATGCTATTTTTGGTTTTATGATACATTTCGTATCATAGTTTTTTTTTTTTTTTTTAAATATTCACCTGAATGACATCCTTGCAAATGTAAACAATCCAATAATTCCAAGTACATTGTATAACAGAGGTATATTTAATAAGAAATGTAAAAAGCGTGGATGTAAACCGTGATTTTCTAAATTTGTAGGATTGGAATTATATTTTAAAAAATTAAGCGGCGTTACTACAAAATTGTTCAAACTAATATCCAAATTTCCTATTTCTCCCATCGTTAAATAACCAAAGTAAAAACTATCAACTAGGATAAAGAAAATAGCGGTAGGTATTCCGCAAATGATAAAAGTAAATATTCTGATATGAAAATGAAGTAAACCGATACTCCTAGAACCAAGACCTCTTTGTAGCCAGAAAAAAATAGGAGGTAATGCAAATGCAACAAAAGTTGGTCTATTAAATATACCGATAACAGTAATGGTAGCTATCTTAAGGCAATGATTTAAAGAATGGGAAGGTAATGATCCTAAAAGTTTATAGTATTTAACACGTTCCACACCATTTTTTGCTTGGTCGTATTTGTTAGAAAGATAATCGCTCTGTATAATGATCTAAAATGACAAAAATTTCTAATTAGATTATTGACTTACTTGTAGTTGTCTGTGAGCAATTGACTGTGAGCAAATGAATTAAAGTTTCTTCAATTTTGATCAATACCTTTTCCGAATATACCATGCACTGCGAGGTATAAAACAACAGTAAGGAAGTCAATATTAATTCGATGGAATTAGAAAAGACACGTGTAGCATAAGTTAACATTACATAAGAACTTGCTAATGTAATCAATCTCACTTTATAGTTTTGCCCGCACATACAACATATTTTGTAGAGGCAGTAGTCAGATACAAAAGATAAAATGCACATAAGAAGTCTTGGAAAGACGATCAGATAATACGGTGATATTAAGGATGTACCAAAGAATTTGAATCCATAGGATGAAAGAAATTTTAAAAATGAATAAGAAGTACCCACTAATATTTGTGGTATGAAAATCGTTCGAATGGGAAATGTTGCATTATATTCCCATGGTTTGTATATATCTATATCGAAACGATCTCCTGTAAGAGTCAAACAAACAAGTTTATTTTTTATTTCGTATTGCTAAGAAAAACAAGAAAAAAGAAAAAAGAAAAAAGAAAGAAAAAAGAAAGAAAAAAACAACTAAGGGAGTGATGATTATCTACTAAAATATCATTTACCTGATATAACTTCTATAGCTTGAAAGTACTCATCAGGATGTATATATCCAGTTTGTGGAACTAAAGTCAAAAGTATTCTAAATGCAGCTAATGCCCAATATACTTTCATTTTTCTCTTTATAGGTGTAACAGGCTTATATTCGTCAATTGATCTGCGATATTCGGTTATATGGCGCATTTTATTCAATCATCCAATCTTTATATATTATGCATATTCAATTTGCTTCTTAAATATAGTAATCGAATAAGAACATGAAACTTAGCTTTTCAAGTTAGTACATTGTTTTAATGAATAACATCATTTGTAGGATCAATTGTTTATCACAATTTATGTTTATGACAATCAATATGTACTGTCAGATAAATGTTTGTGTTTACTTTTTGCAGTAATTGTCAGTACTTGTCAGTAATTGTCAGCATATTAAATAATAATCTATTAAAAATGGCATGTCTCATGACCAAAATTCAGAACTCTAGATAATATTAGATGATATTAGATCAGAATTTAGATCACCATAAGTTGCTGTTATTTCTCTTAAAAATATGTGAACGGTATTTATAATCTGATATTAAGTTGACTTTAGCACAACCTAGTGGTCATATATTATAATAGATCGGTAAAATAGATATCTACAATTACCAAGAGTGCATTTGAAAGAAAAATCTTTACTATTTATCGATAAGGTAGACATCGTTTAATACGACAGCCTTTTTTTTTAAAAAAAAATTCCTACTTTACCGATAGATCTAATTACCGATAGATTTTTACGTGTAACATTGTAAGATCAAATAGTCAAGAGAACAACCCTTTCTTCTATAAGAGTATAAGAATACGTATAATATATATATATATAAACTGTATTATACAAACACACTGAATAATCTTTCATTTACACCCAATGTGCTTCAACGTGCTCTGTCTGTTCTAAATTCTAGGAAAATGACGTCACTTCTCGGAAAATCTAAAATTCTTGCAATAGCCTGATATCGTGTTACCTCCTGTGACGTCATATTATCCTATTACAAAATCGAATTTTCGACAAAAATTTGAATATTATCTGGAAAATTGAAATTTCTAACAGGATCTCATAATGTAAGAGGACGCGCGATCCAATGCTGATTCTTTTTAAATGCTTTTTTAATCATGTTTTTCAGTTTTTTCAATATCTTCATTTAAAAAAAAAAGAGATAAACATTTTAATATAAAATTATAAGTGTTATAGCTTCAGGGGGTGTGGTCAAGTATCTAGTGGCAAAACCCTCTCTTCGTACATTCATCATGTAGAAATAATTTCTAGGAGCGTGGCTATTTCCTTTTCTGTATTTTTTACATGATAGAAATAATTTTAAATAATTATTTGATTTAATAGAAGTATATTTGATTAGTTTCAATCTCCTACAGAGAAGATTTCTTCTACATATCTTTAATCTAGATCTGATCTAGATCTGTTGAAAGAGCGATATTTGACAATGTCAAGATTCACATGATATCAAATACGTCGGTTTTATTCCTTGTACATCAAGATTTCTTACATACACACCAAGCAAGCGACTATGTGAATCCTTCTCTCAACATTCTCCCATTTCGGTCTTCCACGATAGTATTGTACTACTGTGTCATCGCATAAAATACATACTATCGCCCACTAGTGGTCCCTGTGCTTACTAAGAGAAATTTTTTATAACAAAAGTGAACTTTTGGTGTTCTATATACTGTTATATTCTTTGATAAAATAGTAAAAAAGTATTGTTCGGTAAATCAATAAGTGCATAACTAAATGTATTTTAGAAAAGAAAAGTAGAAGATCGATCGCACGAGCGCGCTCGCGCTCTCGCTCGCGCTCGCGCGTGCGACAAGGCGCGCAACCCACCTTACTTAGGTGGGTGGGGTGGGTAATCGACGGTGATCGGGGTGGTGGTGGTGGTGGTGGTGGTGGTGGTGGTGGCGTCGGCGGCGTCGAGAGCTCCCTATGACGTCATTTCTCTGGAAACAACATCTCGAAAGGGGATGGAAGCTCGTCAAGAGAGACGCCGTGTTCCTGCTTTTTATTCTCGAGAACGTGATAACGGGCGTGTTAAGTGGTAACGTTAACGTTGGAAGGTTTGCTTTGGCACGATATACAAATAAAAACAGGAACAAGATAGCAATGGCAAGTGGTTGTTATTGAAAAGAAGAAAAAAAGAGTAAGAGTAAGAGTAAGAGTAAGAGAGAACAAGAAAAATGTCTAAAGTTGTATTAGTTAAATATCGATAATTGTTGTTGTTAGCCACAGTCATCGAATAACTAATTTGGCTTGACTATGAACCGGCAACTTGACTCTGTTGCCGTCGAGGACAAGCAACAAGCGTTCTCGAGCGGCGCGTGAGACCGGGCATCGATTTAGCCGGGAAAACATGACACCGAGGAGAGACCAAAGGAGAAATCATCAACGTCGTCCATCCTCTGCACGTACGATAATGTGCGAAAAACAAACAGCAATAGACGGCACAGGTAAATCGATCCTAAGGGTTTTTCATTCCTATGCAAGATCGAATTCGATGCTTTCGCACGATATGCACCCTCCCAAAAAGAAGCTACGTAGTATGATGCATTCCGCCCGCCTTCCATCTTCGATTTGATTTTCATTTCGAGTCATCATTATTTGTTTCCTTTGAATTTGGACACGACGACATAGGGCTTACTTATGCAAGAATACGAATTTGCATGGAAAGTTGCAGTAAGCGTGGGAGTTAAGTAGCTGTAAACTTGAAAGAATCTTGTCTTCTTGTGTGGATATAAAAAATCGCATGCTCCCGTAATCCGCTTATCCCAGCACACCCGCTTATATCATACATGCCGCCAGCTCACCAGTTAATTACTATTAACAATATTATCGTTGCAAAAGATGTACATCGGAAAGCGAGGGACACGGCACGCCTGTAGATAGCCGCCGATATGCCGGACTAGAGCGTGAGATGGACAGCGGGGTAGTGCGCTAGAGAGAAGAGTTCAAGTTCATTCTCTTGAATTAATAATCGTAAATAACATCGTAATAACAACTCTGTCTAAGCAAATAGGCTAAAGGTGCATTGAGAGAGAGAGAGAGAGAGAGAGAGAGAAAGAGAGAGAGAGAGAGAGAGAGAGTGAGAGAAATTTTGTTATTGCGAATGTTGAGAAATCATAGAAAAGAAAAAGAAACAACGAGTAGAGATCGAGAGAATGAGCCACGCTCAACAGCATGTGCTTGCGAGCGCCATAGTCCTCGCTCTGATAGTGGTCTTCGGTATCCACGTCTTCCTCTTTCCCATGTACACCTCCAGCCCGGCGCCCAGGCACACAAAGATCTCATCGTACGAGCAAGCATTATGTCGAACCAATCTGAAATACGTCAGAGTACCACCAGAATGGAGGAACCCTTGTCCGAAATATGGAATCGTCACAGCTGTTCAGGGTGGTCGACTTGGCAATCAAATTTGGGAGTATGCTTCGGTATGGGCCACTGCTAGGAGAACGGGTTTAGAACCGTTCATGCCTCGTTGCATACTGAAAACTCTTGAGGAACATTTCGAGAACCTCAGTATACCACCTTTGAGTTATATAGGAAGATGTACTCTTGACGTCGGCCAAGTGGTCAACTCGCTTGGTCAATGGAACAGCACCGAACAGAACATCATCATACCGAGGTATTTGTTCTTATTCTTTATCATATCCTATCTATCATTGCCTATCATTGCCTATACTCTCGTATATTTGAGACATAAATAAGGATTGATGAAATAGGCTATTTTTTGTACTTTGTTTGTGTACTTTGTGTACTTTCTTTGTATACTTGCTACTACTACTACTAGCAATATATAGGAGAGAATATTTGACAGGCACGCAGCATACTGGTCCCTGATTTTTGTCTGGTTGGACGACGTACGTCGAGAATTTACATTCAAAGCAAGTTTAAGAGCTTACGCTAATACGGTATTACGTGAAGTAGCAGACAAATTCAATCTCTCCCAGCCGACTTACGTAAGCGTACACGTTAGGAGGACCGATTACGTCGATTATCTCTGGCAAAAGCTTAAAGTCAGGCCGGCACCAATAAGTTATTACTTTGCAGCGATGGACTACTTTCTCGGGAAATACGATAACGTGGTATTCGTTGTTACCAGCGACAATATAGCCTGGTGCAAATACAATCTACGTAGCAAACGTCACAGAATAAGTTTCGTTTCGGAAGCCGATGGTAGAGGACCCGGTAAGGATTTAGCTGTTTTGTCCGTGTGTAATCACAGCATCATAGATTACGGCACCTACGGTTCATTCGGAGCTATTTTAGCTGATGGCGAAACTATCGTTTATAACGTAACCACATACTTTTCCACCTTGATCGCTGAGGCCTTACCCAAGTGGAGGATTATGAGTTGAACCAAATCATAGATAAGATTTCAACAAAACTAAACCAAAATATTAACAAAACATTAATCGGTGAATCTATTGTAATTGCTCCTTGGCTAGGTATATAGATTCAAACGAAAGGATAGCATAGATATATAGGCAGATAGACAAACAGATAGACAAGCAGATAGATGAAAACGGAGAATGTGTAATACAAAACAACTTTTGTATGTACAAATGTGGATCTTAATATTATAGTAAGTCGTGCGGGTGCGGGTGCGGGTGCGGGTGCGAGTGCGGGTGCGTGTCGTGTTTTATATTTTTTTTTTTGCTTGCTCTTATTTTTCATAGACATTCCGGATTCGTTAACCCTTCTTCTTCTTCTTCTTCTTCTTCTTCTTCTTCTTCTTCTTCTTCTTCTTCTTCTTCTTAAATGATAACATACATTTAATGTATATAATCATACAGTTATTTTTCTCACCTGAATGGTAGATTTCCCGATTTTGCAACGGGAAAAAGTACTTGAGAACGAATTGACGGAATTGGAATTTGTTTTGTCTCTAGAAATTGACGTTCAAATGTATTTAATTTTGTTTTATGTCAAATTATTGGGAAGGAAAGGGAAAGATAAATGTGTATACATTTAATTCTGTTTTTAGGCGGCAAATGCGTTCAATGCGTTTAAAAAAAAAAAATGGCAAATCTATTATAAATATTTGATTTGTATATATTTTCATAAAACACTTTTTGCGACTTGGAATGGATTATTTTGTTAATGAAAAAAAAAAAAAAGAAAAAATACTAAAAAATCTGAATGAAAGACTGATCGCGTCGCACAAAACGTTCAAATAAATCGTTCAAAATAAGAAAAATGAAAAGAAAGAAAAAGTAAGTTTTAAGATTATTAAAGACGAACACTCTAACACGAGTAGCAAGCAGCCTTAAGTGCAAACTTATGACGATTCTTTTCTTTTCTTTTCTTTTCTTTTCTTTTCTTTTCTTTTCTTTTCTCTTTTTTTTCTAAACTTGAAAGAAACCAAAAATAAGATAAAAAAATTCTTACACAAAATTAGATAGAGATAAAATACATAAAAACAGAATTAATGTATAAAGAATCGGTCTTGTAATAGAAAAGACAAAACAAATTGATCGATTTTCGATTCGATTTTTAAACAATGGCTCTCCACATATTTGTTTGCATATAAATTAATATATACAGGGTGTCCTAAAAGTTTGGCCTATATTTCATGAACGTATCGGGGAGACAATATATTGGAGGAGTGGCATGAAAACTTTTCAATCCACCCTTTTATAAACTTATTTACTAATAATTGATCTTTCATAGGTTTAAACGCAACACAACTTTTTTTGCAAATCATTTAACCGGATTCGAGTTTCTATTTGAAACACTCTGTCTATACATTTGTATATAGTTAGTTTCCTTCATCTTCCTTTCGAAAGGAAAACAAACAATTAGCCTAACACGATATTTCTGCTCTCCTTATCTCTTGTTCATGAATTAAGCATGATTCATTAATTAATGATGTTATCCGTACAAAACTAATAATAATAATAATAGATAAGGTCTTTATTAGTGGAACCAAAAGAGAAAAATATTAGATAATTGAAACAAGGGGAAGCTTGAGAATCGTCTCTAGGAGAAAAAAATAAAATAAAATAGTGAATTAGTTTGAAACATCGTTTAAGAGAGTACAACATAACCGCCGAACCATTGGTGACGACATACAGACACGCATATAGAACAACAATTACCAAAAAAAGATACCAAAAAAATGGATTACAATGAAACAATGGACCAGTAATAATCTAAAATTTAACGAAAACCAAATAAAATAAGAACTGCGAGGAGAAATAGAGAGAGAGGGATTGGGAGGTGAGGGACAGAGAGAAAATTAATTAATTAATTGACAAAATAGAGATGATTATTTTTTCTACTACCATAACCGAACAAAGAAAAGATGCCACGCTGATTAAAATAATAATAATAATAATAATATTAATTACAAAGTAATTGTTACGTGATACATACTCTTGTATACACATGGGGGTATGTATTAATGTACGAATAAAATACAAAATAAACTGGAAGTTTATCTTTTCCAAAGGAACTCTAATATTGATAATCGTGAACGTACGTAAAAACGTAAGAACGAATGAACGACGAACGAACAAACAAACAAACAAACAAGTAATAATAATAATAATAATTAATAATAATAAGAATAAATATAATAATAATAATAATAAGAAGAAGAATAATGATGATAATAATAAATATAATATTGATAACGACAAGAAAGAAGAATGAACAAAATGAAAGGAGCCAATCTCAAAATCATGACGGAAATTTTTCTATATAAAATATTAAAAAATGCATTTTTTCTATTTTCCAAGCATCCCACAATCGACGTGTAAAAAATGTTTCGTGTATATCTAAATAGTGTTTAGAAAAAGAAAAGAAAAGAAAAGAAAAGACAAAAAGAAATGATGAAAGGAAATTTGATGTATGCATCAAATGCCGACAAGCTACTGGTCATTACAAGATAATGTCACTTAATAATGTCACAATAGATATTTATAGAATAGATAGAAAGATAAAGAGAGAAATAGAAGATCTATATCTTCTTGAGAAAGAAAATGAAAAGAAAATCATTGCATAAAAAACGATGTATTTCGCGTCTACGACTTTTTATGATGTACAATGATTTTATCTGTGATTCTATTTCTTATTGTGCCAAAATTCTTAATATACATACATATACACAAATATACAGATATATTATATATACACATGAGCAAATATACAGAGTTTTTCACAATATGTGAGCATAATTTGCATAGCATTTTTCTATGTTACACATTTGTTATTACATTAAGAAAATTGTATCTTCCTTGTTCCAAAATACCAATAATATCGTTTGAATTTGCAGACAACATGTCGATAAAGTTATATGAATAATAATTACTGGAAAACAAAAATCGATTACAATATAATTAAATATATACGGGGCGTATAATTATGTGAATATTTGTTTTCATTTGTTATTCATTTATCATTTCACCTCGTAAGTAATGCTCACGTATTTTATACACACATATATATAGAAAAAAACGTATATATAATGGGCGCTCTTGGTAAAAGCGTCCATCAGTCGCATACACACACACACACACACACACACACACACGAGCATATATATTATGAAGTTATATCTATACAAGATAGTCTATAATATTTACAAAAAAAAAAAAAAAAAGGTGTGAAACAAAAATTATAAAATATTTCTTCACTTAATACGTAAGATAAGAATGAAATGCTTACAAATCAACGTGTCATGTAAGAATGAATGAATGAATGTAAGAATGAATGAATGGGAGGATGGAAGGATGGGAGAGAGAAAAAAAAGTAGTAGATATTTTAAATGTCGATATATAATAAGTGTTTCAAATTTAATAACCATGTGACCTGATGTATTTGACTTATATTTTATAAAAATAAGTTATTAAATCTTTCTCAGCATATATATGTACACCTATGTATATACATATGTGTATGTGTATATATTTATATTTATATTTATATTTATATTTACATTTATACTTATATTTATATTTATATTTAAATTAGTTAATTAAACGTCTTCAATGGTTCATGCCTATTAGTTGTTACGCATTGAAAAATATTATATACGTATATAAGATGGAGATAATAACTGTATAAAATGATAATCGTTGTATACAACAAAGTAGACCTATCCCAAATTCTATGGAAAAAAAAAAAAGAAAAGAACAAAAAATAATTAGCACTGTCACCTCTCTATCTTTAAAGAATACAAAATTAAGAGACCTTTCAAAAAGTATAGAATTTTAAACATACCATACACACACACACACACACACACACGCGCGGTGTTTTCATATTATTATAATTTAAGTAAGAGACATGAAAGTAATGGTAAGACTATACAACTTACAGTCATCAATGTAATCTACTTTGTATATTTTCTGTGATAACATTTGTCTAACTTAATAAAAATAGCGATGATGATTAGAATGATGGTGAAGATGATAAGGAGAAGATGAAAGAAAGAAAGAAAGGAAGGAAGGAAGAATAAAAAAGAAAAAAGAAGAAAAGAGAAATATGTATGTATATCTGCCCCTTCGTGAACTTATTTATTGTACAAAATAAAGATATACCTTGTGTCAAAAAAAGATAATATATATATATACATACATATATATATATATATATATATAGAAAGAGAGAGTTATAAATAGATATAATATCCTATCGATTCCAATCACTTACTGTATGGTATAACAAGTTTAACCCTTTGCACTCGAAGATTTGTTTTTACTTATTTAGAAAAATTGTATTTCCTATTTATATTTAAAGATGAAATAAAATTATTAAAATTTATCTTGTAACCCTCCTCCAGTGCAAAGGATTAATAATATGTACAAAAAAAGACCCCAAAATAAAAATATATATGTAAAAGAAGGAAAATATATTAACAGGTGTTTCCAGTTTGCATCAATAATTTTAATCAAATATTTTTAATAAAACGTATTTATTGAGTTGAATTAAAGTAATGAAAAAAAAAAAAAAAAAACTATAATATTTTGTATTTTTTTTCTAATTATTAATAATTTAATAATTATAAAAATGCGCGCCTACAGGGATGCAACCCTCCAGACACTATTTGAAAATGTTACTTGCGAGCGCCATCTGTCGGGACGAAATTTTTTGTCTGCCCGAAAGATAGGCAACCCGTCATACACGCGTGTATAAACAGTTTGGAATGAAAAAAAATTCCGTCCCAACAGATGGCGCTCGCAAGCAACATTTTCAAATAGTGTCTGGAGGGTTGCATGCCTACAGGCGTAATATTTTCCTAAATAATCATACAAATGTAATTTTAATTTAGTAATTAGTTAATGCATATTTTTACAATAATATTTAGTATCTTATATGAAAAGTAAATATTGAAAAATTGAAATTAATCAATGTTAGACCTTTAATGATCGTCGTAAAAATAATAAAAGTTTAAAAAGTTGTTGTTCAGAGATTTCAAGATATATATTTTACAATGAATTAATAATATAAAAAAGTAGTTCTCTCATGTGTTTCTAAATCTATCGATCCGTTGTAATGTAACTTTCCGCAACGTGTCCCGATCCTGTCCACGTATTAACCATTTTGGCCCTTAACGGTTGAAATGCAATTTCCGATTTCGGTATTCCATACTCTTGCAATTTACTTTCGTATACCGATAATAAATCGTCGTGTGCTTTACAAGCTTTAGCTAATTCATACTGGAGATCTTGTATCGCTGTATTTTTTCTATTCAACATGTCCTGTTAAATTTTCAAAGGACAAATTATGATTTTAATCGTGCCCATCAAATTATTTCAGTTAGAAAATGACTAAAGTAACAAATATAGTAATAAAAATGTGTTATTTAATAATTGTACATTATATGCATTACCTCCAATTTTGTATTTACATTAACGACGGCTGTAGGATCTATATTAGCAGCAGCCAAAACTTCGTTAATTTGTACGTCGCGTTGTTCCAACAATTCCGATAACTTTTCTAACTTTTTTTCTAATAGTACATTTTTTAGACCAGTCTTTTGTTGCAATTCCAATATAGCTGATACGAATCTAGAATAAAGCTCGTCTCTTTCCGATTGGCACTAGAAATCATTATTTTCTTTAGACAAGAACTGTTAATCCCCACCCCACACACACCCCACCCCCTTTTACAATATATAATATAATTGTTAAATGTGTTGTACTTTGTCAAAACGTAATTCCAAAACTTCGTTCTCCCATTTTAAATTGTTGTAATCCTTAAGAACCAATGACAATCTTTTTTTTGTGTGCTAAAATAATAATAATAATAATAATAATAATAGTAATAAAGGAAATAATAAAAAGAAAAAATTATAATATGTATATATATATATATATATACTTACGGATAAGCATTGCTTATCTTTTTCATAATTAATCAGTTGTCGCGTATAATCGGCTACTTTCTCCCGCAAAGTATTTAATTCCGTGGAATATTGTTTATTTTCCATCGTTAATTCGCGCACTTGTTTCTTCATTCTATCCTCATTATTTTTCATTACTTCCATTTGTTCCTTCATAAAAAAAGGTACAATTATAAATTCAAGTTTATTTTGTCTCTTTTTTGTAACAATATTATATAATATATATATATATATACATGTGTACCTTCATACTTTGAATAAGCGACAAGTTATTCAGAGTAATGTCATTGTAATAAGTTTTCATCTCTGTAAATGCACTTTCATGATTTTTCATCAAATTTAAAATGTGCAAATTTTTTCTTTCCTCTATTTCGGTAATTTCCATTTGATGTTTCGACATTAACGATTCGTACTGACTCGTCAATTTCTGCTCGTATTTTTGCTCTAATTCTAACGCTTCTGATTCGAATTTTTTTGTTATGTCACTTATTTCCTCTGAATGGTGCTGTTCAAATGAATTCAATGTAATCAATTTCAACATAAAATAATTAAATGTCATGAGACCATCATTATCTTACAAGTTTCAATTCATGAATTTCATTCAAACGAGTCATTTCCAGTTCTTTTTGTGCTTTCTTCAATTCCTTTTTATCTCTAATGAGCTCATTCTCTTGAGATACATGATCATCTTGCGCCATTTTAAGAGCAACCAAATGGTCCGCCTTTGTTTCGGACAAATTAGTCTGGTGTTCGTACATCAAGTGCTTTACTTTTTGTTTGTACAATTTCATTTCTGCTTCATGCTTTTCCTGAAGTTCTTCCTTCTCTTGTTCTTTGTTCCTAAACAAATAAATAATTATATGTCCCAAGCCCTAGGTAAAGGGGTGGAAAGGGGTGGAAAGGGGAGGGCTCGAGGGCGAAGAAGGAGAAGGAGAAGGAGAAGGAAAAGGAAAAGGAAAAGCTATTTGTATCATTTGCTGAACAATTTATATTTTTCGTATCGTTTATTAACAGACAAATATTAGCAGTATAAATGAAAGTTTCGTTTACCTTACAATGGCGCGTGCTTCGTCCAATTGATGCCTCGAGATTTCCCAAAAAGTACGTAATTTGTCTCTTTCTAATTGAAAAAAATTTCTTTCCTCCCTTTCACGTTCCAATTCTTCTAAAATCTTATGAGAATAGATCTCCAGTTGTTCTCTGTTCATTTTTGTCGTGTCCACCCCGTCAACGGTGTCTACTGATTTACCCTTAACTTTCTTTGGTCCCTGTTTTAACAAATATTTTACAAATTTCACCAAAATTCCACAAAAATTACTTTTAACAACATCAATTATTTATATACAAATATAGATCTTTACCATTTTTCTTTATTTTTTTTTTTTAAATTTTATTTCTTTCTTTTTAAATACTTCAAACACAAGTGTCTCTCAATAATGATTGATATGTCCTTCACAATAATTATATTAATTAATACATTCTTTTGGTATAATCTATTTTGATATAAATAAGACAAAGTATCATATGGAGAAGTATATGTTAACAAGTTTTGTTTTTTTTTTTTTTTTTTTTCAACGAAAAATAAGTAAATAGTAACACATCAGATACTAAACTATTAAGTTAAAGACTTCACTATCATGGAACAGCAGTAGTAATGTTTTGCTTTTTAGTTGCCAAGCAACTGAATCTGTACGCGTGTGTATACATTGACAGATTTTTACAAAATAAATGGAGTCTTTTTACTCCATTAGCTTGAATTGTACTTACAAAAGAAAAGACAACAAATTATACCAAACATTATGGAAAATATTATAAACCATTTATTATTCATAAGATTACATTTAGTTTAAATAACAGATATCTTAAAATAATCTAACAGATAAGTATATGAAATATTTTGTCGATTATTTCTCGTATTTATATAAATTTACGTGTGTGTTTTTCTTTCTGACATTAAACATCTTATTTGCAATTATAATGAATATGAATATTTTCAATCTACTAATTAATTGTGATCGATTACCAGCAAATACAAAATATCACAGCATCGCTAATGGTTAATTAATAAAGAATGAAAAATAAAATAACAATTTGTAATAGGAATGATGAAAACAAAAGTTGAACAAAATTTCGTCAAGCATCGTATGAACTATATATATATATATATAGTTCTTAATTTTTGCACAATTATTTATTACAGATATAGTATATAATTGTATTTGCTAGTTTATAACATATGTAATAAACATTTCGTAAATTATAAAGATGAAAATTTGAAGTTAAGTAAAAGGCCTACTTTGCTTCTAATAATATACCGCCAATTTTTCAATAAAATTTATAATAATACAATAATCAATAGTTATGCATTTATAATTTAATATATTCAACTTAAGCACATAGCCATGTTATTTCTTTTGTGCTTTACGTATTTTCAATTGTATTAAGATAGACTCTAATTTGTCAACTTAATAAAGCCGATTGCATGGATATAATCGATGTATTATAGTGCAAAAAAGAAATAATGAAGTAAGCGTATTAATGAATATATTTTATCGTTAGAATTATTATTTTAAGCAAATCTTTTTATCCATATAGATGATCCTTCCTTCCTTCCTTCCTTTCTTCCTTTCTTTCTTTCTTTACACATCGATCTAATTTCATTTGTATTAAAAAATCTTAAGAAATATTACGTATTAATTAGATAAGCTGCCAACTCGTCTAAAATGTTTCTCAATTATATATATATATATATATATATATATATGTTTCTTTCTTGTAGACACTGTTTTATTACAATACCCCTTTAATATCCAGCCAATTAGTAATTCCTTAACTTTCTCTGTACATATAAGATTTTATTCTAGATAACAAATTGCTAACTAACTTATTAGTAAAATGTATATAAGGTTAATATAAAACATGCACGTATACGATAATAAACATATAGATGCAAACCTTGGTAATAAAATATTGTGAAAATTTTGAAGAGCGATAGATAGACCTAGTATGCTTGAACGCTATTAAATTATGTATATATAATATGATACGTACATATTGTATTTAAAGAAGAAGAAGAAGAAGAAGAAGAAAAAAAAAAGATAAATGTTAACATAGTAAATAATGAGGTAGACCTATCCTAGACAATGTATGAAGAATCAAACGATTCGTATGCATTTGGGTTTGGTCCATTATTACTAATATTGGATTAATACTAAATTATATGATTTTTGTGCCCAAAATAGGGAGTATATGCGAAAATCACGTAACCTGACATTAACGCACATACCCTGACATGGTTTTTTTGTACTTTGAAAACTTATAATAAATAGTAATAAATAATAAATAACGTGTGTACTCTTTTCGTCAAAGAGTCTACAAAGATACATTGCAAACCACATAGTTAATGCATTATGTTATAACATAGTTAATGTTACGTGATTAACGCATAAATTCCCTCCCCAAAAAATAACAAATCAAATATAAAACAAGATACCTAACAAATATATATTGAAAAATCAATGAAACTTTGTGTGAGTTTATTAAAGCAGCTCTTTTTTCCAGCTGGAATGCCATGCATAAAACAAACTTGCTTAGTTTATTTCTCCTTTAAATTGTAGTAAACATCCCACTGCCCCAAAATAACCCTGAAGAGGACAAATATTTCATTAGATTTCATTCATCATAATTCATTAGTTGTTTTTATTGTCTATTATTATTTTGGTTATATCTAACCTCGTGCTCTAAAAACAGAGCTTTCATTGTTCCTTTAGACCAATAATCCATAGCATAGGCCAATAATTTCATAGAAATAGGATTGACCCTAAGGAAGTTACCGACAAATACCACCTACAAATCCAACAAAAAATGTGTTCTTTTTCTCTCTCTCTCTCTCCAATATATGTCGAAAGTAAGTTTAGTTAATAGTGTTTCTTGCTAATATTATTTTATACACATAATAATATATATATATATATATATATATTACCCTTTCTAGTTTTTCATTAACAGCACACATACGTGCTATGGAACCAATATTATTGGTGATAGTAACAAGGGTTGCACGAGCAAGATCCTCTTTTGTAACTGCATTACGACGTTCTTTAGAGTTCATTTGTCCAAAACTAAAGATATTGAGCAAAATTATCAATTATAAGTGAAACAGTGAACAGAATAAAATGAAAGAAAAGATTTGGTATTATTTGTATTATTGTTTACCTGCTAGCAACGATATCCCCAGGAAGACCGAATGGCCCATAATCACCTCCGTAGATGTCTTTTACTAATTTATCTACTTTAGTGTTGTCGCCACCTGTTGCTAATTCAATAGCTTCTTCAAAAGTATTACAACCGGTGAGTAAACAGCATAATCCTAAGAACGTTCCACCACCTAAACTGCAAATATCATTTATATGTTATACGTAAGGTTCATAATATATGTATCATTTCCAATTATATACTTACCTTGTTCCAGATATTCTCTTATAATTCTCTGGTCCATACACTGCCAATATACTAACACCTGAACCTATATTTACAAGCTGTAACAAAGGAATTTTCAAACGGACATTGACAGACAAACAGACAGACAAACAGACATAATCCATTTTTCTTGTGTATTTAAATAACATTAATATGACATACCAAAAATGGATAAGGTTCAGAAAAATCATATGGTATTTTTTGACATCTAGTATCATCCGTTGGATGAGACCAATAATAGCATTCGTATGGATTAGTTATTTCAACATAAAGTATGCCACGTATTAAGCTGTCAAGTTCATCAAACTTTGCCAAACTCATATTTACTTCCTATAAATTAGAAATACAAATTCCTTGGGTATAATGGGGGTATAATGTAGACAACGTTGATAAAATTGACTAGAATTTCAAGTACCTTCTTGAAATTTTCTTCAAATTTGAAGGCTCCGCCACCAGTTGCGCAAACAGTTGTCACAAGATTTGCCATACCTTTAGATTTTGCTAATGCTAGAAAATTTCCCATTTCACTGGTAGGAAATCTAATAAAGTGTAAAGTACCACGCCTGCCTCTAATACAAACGTTGTTCATCTATAATATAATATGATATATATATAACATTTATCTTGAATATATAATTGAATGGATAAATCGACACAACTCATACCTGCAAATGCGTATCTCTGTGACCTGTTTTTCCATAGGCTGAATGTTTCGTAAGATATCGTCGAATATTTTTCAGCGTTTCAAGTTCAGCGTCAGCTTCATCTCTCGTTATATCTTTAGGTTCAAAATATACAAGTTTACATAATGTACCACCTATATCCATTCCGAACCACGGCATTGCTATAAAAAATAATTATATACAATAATAATATGATATTTCGAGTATATAGTATTTGAAGAATTTTTCAAAAGGAACAATTACTCTATGTACTGTGGGGGCGGGGGGGGGGAGGCAAAATAAAAAAGCTAATAAAGGTGTTACATGTGAAGCTATATGATAAATAAACCAAAAGAGATATAATGCAAACAATATATGAATATAAATATACAAATATAAATATAAATATAAATATGAATGAAGGAAGGAAGGAAGGAAGGAAGAAAGTACATACATAAGACAAAAAATCTATAACACAAAAACAAGTGAATACTATAAAAATAAAGATGAAAATAAAATTGGCTAATCCAAGCGCACACATACAATTTATTGACTCACACGGTGGTGAATTATTCTTTGATTCGCTTTCCATCATTCCTGCTCCAGAATAACCATTAGATGCCATGATTTTTTTTTTCAAAATGTTCTTATAACTCTGCTTTCGATACATAGTTAGATTCTAAATTTCTTATCGTAAATGTCTGCACTGTCACGAACAACTTCTTAGCTATAAAAAAAAGAACAAGCAAAAAAAGGCAAAATAGTTTAATAAATGAACATTAAATTTGATGTTAGGATAAATAAATAAATAGAAAATATAATAATACAATAGCTCTGTTTGACTAAACTCTAACTTAGTCATGTATAAAATGCTCTCTCAATGCTAATAAGTATAGTTAACTTTTAAATGGACTGAACTCTGTACCGCCATTTATCTTTGTAGAAGCAAAGGTTATACCTTAATTATGCGTGTCATGAACAGGAAACATGAATAGATATTAACATAAGTCAAGTTAAATATATTTTATTTATTTTTTATATTTTCAATGTGCATAAATGCGAAGCTTCTCGTCGGGAGTTTCAAATCAAATCAAATCAAATCAAATCAAATGAAAAGAATTAAAAACAATGGCAATGTTTTGTCAAAATTACATAGTAAATTAGTAAGCACTAAATTAGTAACAGTAGGTTGCTGTCTAGGCGCTTTAAAATCAGGATATAGTACAGGACAATCTACGCAACCTACCTAAAGGTAGTCCTTTATGGATGAAACAGAAAAAGATCTTAAAGAGCATACTATAAAATATATATTATTAAAAAAACATTATTTAATGTGAGAGATCACAATTATTTGACTATTAAAACTATTGATCATTATTAAGATATTAAATGAACCAATACAAGCAATTATTTCTATTTCATAATTTCCTAAATTATATATGAGTCATTTAGGATTATTATTTTATTTATTTATATAATTAGCAATAAGAAATATTTTCTTAATATTTATATTTAATAAATGTGTTTTCATTATAATTACACTATAAAAATAAGAATAAAAATAATTTTTCGAATTATTTGAGATATTAACGAAACAGTACTATACGACTGTATATGTTTTGACGAAAGATAATAATCGTCATCAATTTAGCAAGAGAGAAAAATAGAGATCAAAAACGAATCATACGATCGGTTAACAAACAGGAAGTGACCTAAACTCTTAGAGTCTCACGTGACACCGATGATTTCGACCTTGCTAATGTTTTTATTCTTATTATATACACCGAGAGATACAATAATGCAATTAATAATCTATCAAAAGAGTGCGAACAAAAAAAAGGAAATAATAATATTAATAATAAGCGCAATATGAGTGTACAAAGGCGTGTACGAACGATGTTTCTAAGCTCTTGCAGAGAAAAATGAAAACGTAATAAATACAATATCATGTTAAAATAACTGTAACTAAAAACGGTACATTAAGCGATAAAATGACACTGTGACGACGAAGACGACGAAGACGACGACGACGATGACGACGACGACGACAATTGTTTTTCAGCTTACCTGAGGACGTCATTTTGTGTGTAAACAATTCTAATATCCTTCGAATTCTAAGAAATATCCAAACATATTATTCCTGTTAAGTGACAGATAGAAATATATTATCTTCAGTTATCGGTTATCTTTCGACATATAGCGATAATCTTGACAATTCTTCAATTAGAAATGTACATTTTCCTTTCATTGGTACCAAATCGTTAATTGTTAAACGTGAACGTTGATCCATAGTCTTTGATTTGTCTTTCTTTACGCATTTATATTACATGGTCACAATTTATGATAACAAAAAAAAAAAAGACACTATAATCGATAGAGAAAAAGTCACATAAACGTTCTTATAAATTCGTATTAATGAAAATCGAATAGAATGAAGAAACCACTAACCAACCGCACACACCATTCTTATTTATCTGACAAGTGCTAAATTACTAGCGCCATCTTCTTTCTCTCGCTCTTTGGAAGTACATTGATCGATTACTGTGTATATGCATACGTGCTCTCACTCACATATGCATTTTAAATGTTCATTCAGATTATGTAAAATTATTATCTAGATCAAAATTAGCATTTAGATCGACACTGCAAATAATAGTTCTTTCATTGATCTATGATTTTATTACTAAACGATAGTAATAGTATCTTTTTTTTTTTTTTTTTCAATTTTCGACTTAAAGCAATTGTATGATGAGCAATGTATATCGTTATGTATATTGTTTAAATGACAGAAATCTAAAGTTTTTCCTCTAATAGTTTATTTTGGATATTTGTTCATATACACGATACATCTTATACACCTAGGATACATATACTACCTTAACGTGTCTGCCATACAACACGACAATGACGACGACGACGACGACGACGACGACGACACAANTAGGATACATATACTACCTTAACGTGTCTGCCATACAACACGACAATGACGACGACGACGACGACGACGACGACGACGACGACGACACAATGATTAAGAACATTGCGCACGAGCCATCATTGAAATTTTCTGCGCTTTTTGTACTATGTCTGGGCAACGTCTACGACGTACAAGTCTACAGTCCTGAAAAAATCCTTCATTTCTTGGGAACCCATGCGACCCATCAGAATAAGTCACCAAACCTACGTTGATATAATGTTATCTTATAAATATTTCTTTATGATGGTTTGGATCCTTATAAATAATATTATTATTACAAACCTAAGCCCCATACTCTTCCGCCACGAAATTCTCCCTCGAACTTCATACCATCGGCTCTCCAAAATACCCCATGTCCATGGAACCAACCCTGCATGAATTCACCTTCGTATCTATATGTATTGGCGAATAATAATATTATTTAACGTAATATCAATAGGTTACACTATATAGTTAGACAATCAAATGATTGTCGTTAACAAAGTTTATACGTACTTTGCTCCATCGGGAAATATAATAATTCCTAAACCGGAACAAAGTCCATTCTGAAAGGAACCATCGTATCGTGTACCATCAGGAAGAAGAAACGAACCAGCTCCATGTTTCAATCCTCTGTTATTCCAATCGCCAATATATTTTGTTCCATCATCATATTTGTATGCACCTGTCTTAGCCACACCTATAGACAGATTTGACAACAACGAATTTCAATGGTTTCTTTGTTTTTAAACATATTACACAATATATTATTTCATTTATTTGTCACTTAAACAAATAAATACATTTCTATGAATTTCTATCATTTAAGATCTTACCATCACCCATGCTTCCAGCAAACTAATTTCATTAGTAGGAACTTCCAGGTTTAAATTCAATTACTGAAATTAATTCTTTATTTGATTATGAAGCAGTATGTATACAGTATAAGTCTACCACATTATATAAATAATCTTGCTTTCTTTTTCTTTTTTCATCATTTTTTTCAATTTATAAATAAATCTTCATATAAATATTAAAGTAATGTTTTATTGCATTTAATTGAATCTTTGTAAATGTAATTTTACTGCATGTCATATCCAATAAATATCCTATTCAAAGTAAATGCATATAAACAAAATAGATTATTATTATTATTATTATTATTGTATGAGGAACAAATTCTATTTTTAAAGGGTAATAAAATGAGTGTACGATTTTAAGAATGTAAGATGATATTTGTACATATTATGCGTATATGTATTATTTTTCTTTTCATTTTTTATGCTTTTACTCGGTTCGATTCGGTTCGGTTCGGTTCGGTTCGGTTTGGTCAATTCGTTTTACATGATTTTTAATTAGTAAGTAAATTCAGCAATATGAATGAATTAACAAATTTTATTTCAACTATTATAATAGAATTAAACTTTAATGTAAATTATTTATTAATTAATTAATTAATTCATTCATTCATTCATTCATTCATTCATTTTTGATTCCACCAGGCGTGGAAACTAAAAACCAATGGGTTCTAGCTTTTACAGCTGCTTTCCTTACTAAACGTTTTTTATCGTCAAGAACCTTTTGCAGTTTTTTTAAAACGTTTGGTTTATATGTGTTAATCAATATAGCAGGATAATTCGTGTAACTCGTCAAACAGTCTAGAGCTACAATTCTGATGTTCTGAAAATGAAATTATAATTATTAATGATTATTATATAATCAATGGAGGGGATGATGTAAATAATAACTAACTAAATAAATAATTACCATTGATTTGTGAGTCGTCAATTGCAAAAGTTTTGGAAGAAAAGATTGCATCTTATCAGAAAAAATCGTATGTTTTGTATTTAATAACAGTTTTAAAACTGTTAAGGTAGAAAGAACCAATTGTTCATTATCCAAGGATAAAGATTCAAAGAGAATAAGAACTAACTGTTATTGGAAATAAATATTATTATCATTATTATTAAAGAGTTATTTAAGAGTAATAATATTATTAAATAAACAATATAAACTTACATCTGATAAATGCATATACAATAGTTCGGTAGGCATTTCTTCTATTAAATAAGTTAAAGCAATTAAATAATTTTGTCTTGAATTCTTTACAAAATAATTATTTTGCTTTAATAAATGCTGAAATATTCTTTGTTTATAAAACATCTTTATATTACAAAAGTTTTCATGCGTTAAAGCATCCTCCACATTACACGTTAACATTTTATATTCTTCAGCAACATATTCACCTACTTCCTTATGTTTCAGTATTTCTGTAAACTACAAATATAATATAATATTATTATCAATTATTTTCAGTGCAATCATATCATCTTGTGGGTATTCTTGTATTTTTTATTAATTTCAACAAATCTATACGTACAACATTGAGACAATCTTGAGAATTATAACTTCCTTTTGTAACAGCTGCTTTCGTTAACCAAATATATAAAATAACAGTTGCCCGTTTTGTATTTATATCAAAATTAGATTCCAAATTTGTCTTAACTTTTTCTTCGAGATATAAAAAACAATCTTTAAAATGTTCCATGTTGTTCATTTTGTTTAGTATTACGGCAAGTAATTGACAAGATATCATTCTTGTAATAGAATTAGAATTATTTATAGCCAAGTTGTATAGACTTTGTAATAAACATTTGTCAAGCGTTAACTTAACATCTTGTCGTAAAGAAATAAGTAAACTGATTATCACAGTAACAACACTAGTATCGCAAGTTTGTTGCGTTATTTGGACAATATATTTATCCGTAATCGTTTGTTGATCCACAGTGGAAAGACCTCTCACAATACATTGACAAATATTCGATATAAGGGACAATTTATCAGCAGAAGTATGTTTGGTTGCAAACAATATTAATCTATCAACTATGTTACATTCATTGTACAAATAATATTGAATATCAAAATTGTCTTTAGTTGAAACAAGTTTATGAATACAATTTAATGCGGTAAGACTTATCTCTGAATTAAGAGAATTGCCTGCACCAAGAATTTTTGGTAAAATTTCATTAGTCAATTCTGGAATTTTTGCAATTACGGATAATGCTTGTAACCTACAAATTCTAACTTTTACATTTGTATCGTCTGAAATATACAAATATATTGATTATTATAATTAGTTGAATATAAATGAATTGAATTTATTACCTGATGATTATTTACCTGTATCTATCTCAAGTTTTTCTTGTGTCAATGTTAATACTTCATTTGGATATAAAGTAGCGAATTCTGCAAGGCACGCATGACAAATCTTTATCAATAACAAATTGCCGTTATCAATTTCGTTACATACAGTATCGTATAATAAAATTCTATGAGTTTGATTTAAATAAGCTCTTTGTATGGTCAAACCAATAAGTATTTTACTTCTTAACTCTATATAATTATCAGTTAATCCATCAATATATAGCTGCGGAATGTCTGTCCAAGTTAATTCTGGGATACCTTAAAGAAAGAAAAAAAAAAAAAAAAAGAAAAAGAAACATAAATTGTATGAAAATATTATTTTGGCACATGAAAAAATCACAATATGAAATATTATAATTTTGAAAATTGTATCATTAATATAATATTTATCATTAATTAAATACATACTTTTGATAGGGAAACTTAAGTCAGAGGCAATTTTAATGAAATTATTTAAAGTATCTATTATGATGACTTTATCCAATAATGTTTGTTTTGTAGAATAATGACCAAGAAAAATTGGCACTATAACACGTAATACGTGTATACAAGTTTGTTTATTCACCCTTGCTACAGCTTCTAATAAATTTGTTATCGGTCTGAATAAACTTAATTGTATATCGCATAAAGACATTTTAGTATCCGTTAATATTTTGTCAATAAATGTTTCGTGGAGTCTTTTATTGACAGTTATAATTTCAATTAATGTAGCTAATGTCTTAAGGGTAGCATTTTTCATTTCTAAATCACCACCAGACATAACATCTTTTCTCATAATAGACCAAAGCTCTGAAAGATATGGTTCCAATCTGTTCGCACCAAATACATTGGCACTTTTGCATAATAAATTCAAAGAGTCCAATTTGGCAACTTTAAGATCGGAAGATAGTTTTTCCATTACAAGTGGTAAACAAAATTCAGCAAATTCAGGAGTCGCGTAGAGACAAGGTGCTAACAATTCTGCCAAGTCTTCTCGCGTTATACTGACCATGTCCGCATTGATCTGCAAATAATGATCTATTATGTCGCCGCATACAAATATTATGCAAATATTTCTAATATCATATATCGATATAATTACAGGATTAAAATCTATCGGAAAGTAACACGAGATAACGTCAAACATTTCTTCCGTTAAATGTCCCAATTGAAATTCTTTGATAAAATTTGGAAGCACGTTGAACAATAACATAAGATTCCTAGGATCACGTTCGCCATCAATAGAAGATATAACTCCGTAAACAAAATTAGCTCCCATTTCTTTCAAATCATCCAATTTATTTTGTAATAGTGTTATAAAAATTTTATAGATGTTACGACGATCTTCTAAAAGTTGAGCTTGACATTGAACATGTTCAAACATGTTTGTGAATAAATAAACTGGTGCGTCATGAGGTAGATTAATCATTTGAACCTAACATCAACAAAATGATAAGAAAACATGCAAAAAATACATCTATTAAAAAATCATCTATTGAATTGTTTTGAAAACACTAATACTACTAATATTTACGTACTATTGTTAAAATTCCACGAATAACTGCTGGTAGAATGGTATGATGATCTTTTAATCTATCACAATAGAATACTATGATAAAATGTAATTCGGATTCATTAAGAAAGTCATTTGGTATCTCGGAGAGTATGTAGGAAAGTGTAGTGATTCCTCTTTCTCGAATGTTGACAACCTCATTTGTTACAAAAGGACCTAATTCTTCAACTAATGTACATAATTTTACATTTCCTCGTTGTATCTCTGGAATATTATTGAAATAAAATCATTATTTTATTCTTAATACAATAAATTTGTATCATGTGAGAGGTTACAATATTTTGTCAAATATTTGATATAAACATTAACTTATAAAATTGCAATATATACCTTCATACAAATTGAATAGTTAGTACAATATATAACTATAATACTCACCCAAGGCTATATCTTTACATAGGGAAAGTAACGCTAGTCTATCATGACAATTAGCCGATAACCTCTCTGCAAGAGTTGAACTTGCTGGAGAAGCCATCTCCAAACATGCCTTCAGGCTATGTGCTCTCTAACAACGAAATTGTAGTACGAGCTAACCTCAAAAATTTTATCATATGCATTCTCCATTACTTTCAAACATACTTTTAAAGTACATTTTTTGTTCGATGATTTTATATACATATACACATGATGCACCTCATCATCACACCAATGATACCAACCAGGACGTGGGATTTTTCCCACGTGGGAGCCTTCGTGCGCATGCGCAAGCTGACGTCACAGCTCGACGATGGTTATTTCCATTGACGTAACTATGTGCAACAGTAGGTACGTGTAAAAGTCCCTTCTCAGTTTACCGTATTTCAATTGTCACGGGAGTCTAACGATACCCCATATTTGGGTGAAGTATATACGTTACTGAGGATTAAATAGTGCGCATGCGTGAGAAAAATTCCCTGCCCCCACAACCACAACCACCACTATCACACACACATTATGATGCATGTGAGATGCATCGTATATTATAACATATATGGGTTGATCATCGATTATTTACGTTGAATCATTGCGAGGAAAAGTAAATATAAATAGGATAAATGATAACGATTCTAAAAAAGAAAATAAATCAAATGAGACACAATTAATGAAAATTAAATTGGAACATTTGGTATTTCTATTTGAGGTTAGATTATAGCGCCCCTCGTGGCCAGAGATTAACACTATATAAAAGTAAAATGGATGAAAATGGCATGTGAGGTGTTGTTAAATTTCAGTGAAATGTTTAGTTTCTTTAGCCGCCTAGAATGGGAGGCTGCATAGGCATAACAAGGGCTAGAAATGCCTCAGTCGATGACACGTCAGGAAATTCAACGAGAACTAGTTCAGGTAAAACTAATAAGAAAATCGGTCAACTCAAAATTACGCTTAACTTTAACTAACCTTGAAGTAGTTTTTCTTTTACCTTCAGATCTGCTCTGTAATGCGTCTTATATGTATATACACCTGACATCATTTGTTTCAAATGAATTTATCATTTGTAATTATGGTTTTTGTTTCTTTTCATTATAATTGATAACGTTTTAACGTAATAGCTGTGGCAATGATATATTTATCCTCGCGTTGAAATTATTTGTGTTTTATTAGAAGATTTGTTGTCTGAAAGACATCAGTTTTGTTTGTAAAAAATAAAAAAAAAAAAAAAAAAAAAATGATTTTGTAAATTGTTTATCTATTAATTCTTCGTATATTTAATTATACGAATGTTAGTATTGTACGAAATAGTATACATGGTGCATCGTGTAATGCAATGGTTGATGTGTACACGTTGTTGTTACATTATTTACATAGGAAATTCAAGAAAAAATCACCCTCTTTGTCACGAGGTAATTAGATGGAAGTCGGACGTACCTTTAACCGAAGGTCAACTAAGAAGTAAAAGAGATGAATTTTGGGATACGGCTCCTGCATTTGATGGAAGAAAAGAAATATGGGATGCATTGAGAGCTGGGGCGACCGCAGCAGAAGCACAGGATTATCAATTAGCGCAGGCTATATTGGATGGAGCTAATGTATCCGTGCCAAATGGTTTCTTAACCGAATGTTATGACGAATTAGGTACACGATATCAAGTCCCTATTTATTGTTTATCATATCCAATTAATATTGTAAAAGAGGATAGCGGCAGAGATTCACCAGCAGATTGTTCAGGTAAATAGTGACAAATATCAATATTATATCATCAAATGATTGCTTTGTCTAACATCGGCTTTGTGTTAATATTATATTTGTTTAGAACCAGTTGATGGGGGAACTGAACAAACTTTAAAATTACGACTATCAACAACTTTAGGAGATATTAAATTACCTGTATACAGCAAGGATACTATCGGTATTGCGAAAAAGAAATTACAAGTATGTATTATTATTATTATTAAATGAAACAACAAAAGAGTATTTCATTGGTATTATGATTTCAATTATATTTGATATTTGTACAATTAGAGTCAAGAAGGCCTAGAACCATCACGACAGCGGTGGTTTTTCGGTGGAAAATTATTAGGTGATAAGATGCATATAGAAGAAGCTAAAGTGCAGCCGGGTTATGTAATTCAAGTTATTGTAAATCCAGAAAAAACAGATGACAGTCCAGCTAAAACCAGTTGAATTTACATATATATGCGTATATCGACGAAGTGACCAAACAAAACACACCGCTAAACCAATAATAATAATCCATACTAAGCACATTCTTGCACATATTCAAACAAATGTTTAGCACTTTTAATTATATTTATCAAATTGTTAAATTTGTGTATTCATTGAAATTGGTTTGATACAATAATAATTCATTGAATTTAAGTTGTTTCAGGATTCGTTCGTTCGTTCGTTCGTTCGTTCGTTCGTTCGTTCGTTCGTTCGTTCGTTCGTTCGTTATGAAATATAATATATATATATTCTGTCTATAATATTTCGATTAAACTATAACAATGACTAGCAAATAGCACGGAGCATTGCGCGTGTGTGTGTGTGTATGAGAATGTGCTTATTTTACTCAATGTTATCTATTTACATGTACAGTAAAAATCGACTGAGCTATATCTTCAACATCCAATATGCGAATGCAAATTTAATATACTATATGCAAAGTTTGACAATTATAAACATTTCTATTTAATTAATATTGAAAATGATTATTATCGTCATTATAATATTGTTACCAATGATAGTACTGGTGCTGTAAAAATATAAAAAGGAAATAAGAAAAAAAAAAAAAAAAATAACATATTTATGTAAGAAACTATAAATAATCTTGTTAAAAGCTATTACATAATTAACAATCAGACAAATAAAATGTATCATTCATATTGGAAATTACAGCGATATTGTTGATAGTTAATCAAAGCAAAGTGAGGAATAACTCGATGGACAATAACAGAGAATAATTGAAAGAACATTAATATTAATTATTTTCTTTTATTTTTATTATAACTATATTACTATTATTATTGTATGTTTTATTGTATTCCTATGGTTTAACGAATGTAGTATGTTATTCATTTGATTAATATATTATTTCAATATATTTTATTTTATTAAAAAAAAAAAAAAAATTAATATTTTACAGCACCGTATATATTTCATTATTAAATTTATAAATTATAATATTTTATCCAGCAGTGTAAAGAATTATGAAAAGCATAACTTTGCATACTTTGGAAAACATATATATATATAAATGTGTATACACACATCTATATATATGTATGTATGTATAATTTGATATGGCCTAAATAAAGGCCTGAAAAAAAAAAAAAAAATCTATGATTCCTTCCTGTAAGTACTACTAAGAGATAATAAGATTAAGGTCTTTAAAAATAATAATTTATAATCAGATGAAGAAAATAAGACTATATCATGTGAAGATGACATGTGGAACTGAAGTATCATCTTTAGCACAGATTTATTTATAAATATTATTTGTCATTTTAATCATGTTGTCTCATGATTTCACCTACCTATATGTTGTCGTCGTAATATATTACGCACTTGCGGTTAAGGGGTTGAAATAAAATTGGTAACACGTTGCTAGTCATACTTTTTGGCATTGTTCAACGGAAAAATGTGTTTTTTGTTCCATATGTCACAGAGAAACAAATGACCTAAATTGTAATAATAATAATATTATTATTATTGCAAATATTATGGCATAATATGCTAATGAATTTTTTAACTTTACTAACATAACTATTATGACATATAGCTTATTTCATATACATTCTAATTAATTATCAATATTGGGTTGCAGTGTGACAATGTGTGTGCGAGAATATGTATGTTATTTGGGGATGTGCGAGTACCATCTAACATCTAGTCGTGGTAAATTTCATATTAAAATTATTAATAAATGAGATCAAAAGTGAAAGTAAAAGTAACTCAATGATGATGATAACAATAATAATAATAATAATAATAATAACCAATTAGCGAGTTTAATTTTTCAAATGTCTATTAACTAACTATTAATATTAAAACGCGCACATGTACAATTATATGTAGCTCACATTATTCATGAAAACTTGAAGAGCTATATTGAAATTATTGAAAAAAGACAAAATATATCGAATCATTTAGAGATTACATTTGATAATATACAAATTTTCTATAAGTATACCTAATATGATTAATTAAGTCCCATTGTCTAGAATACCAAACTCTTGGAGTATTCGCACATTCCTCATGTATTTATAATATACAAGATGGTTAAAAAAAAAAAAAGAAAAAAAAAACATGAAGTATTGTAAGCTATTTTTTATAGAACAGTTAAAAAAAAAAAAAGATAATTGAGTATTACGGCCTGTCGCGTCGTTAACACGAATAATTGAAAATTTGATGGAATTTTGGTTGTTTTGGAAGCACTTATAAAGTTACTACATTTAAAATTTAATTAGATAACTTTTTAATCGTATCACCGATGGAAATTTTATTTCATTGTTGCAGTGACAATTGTGTTGTCTTTTCTCGTTTCGAACGAGAAGATGACAAAATGTGTATAATCACGGAATATAAGTGCAATAATTGAGATAACGAAAAAGAAAGATAGAAAGAAAGAAAGAAAGAAAGAAGAAAAAAGGTTTACTTTTCAATGCGGATTATTATGTTTTTTTTCTTTCTTTATATTGAGAATTTGATAAGGGCATTAAACGAGATACAAAAAGTAAGAAGAAATATTACAGAATCGAGAGAAATTTTTCAAATGAATATTAACAAATGTCGATCATTTTATAGCTATGTTACTTGAGCAACAAAATATTATCCGTATAATAAAATGCAAAGAAATGTTGGTTGTAGGCTGAATATATATATATATATACATATATTTTTTTTTTTTTTTATTAACTAACAATAAGATGTATATGAAAATTGTACTGACTTGTAAGTACGCGTATTTATAATTATTTATACAAATATCTTATATGCAAATGAATAATCGAATGAAATTTGAAGGAAAATTTATTCATCATATTAATGCAATCATTTGAATTTTGGCAACACCAATTTTTCTTATGTTCGTAATAAAATAATAACAAAGATATAAAATTTCACGATATAATTAAATATAAGATATTTAATCTTACGTCAGTTATTATTATTATTATTATTATTAACTATTAATATTATTTGTGGACAAGTTGCAGTTGTATTATATTTATTAGAATGATATGAAAAAAAGAAAAACAAGTATAAAACCTATTTCATATGCAAAA